AAACTTCACTTCAACATCAAGCAGTTGAAGAGCTCAAAATCCTAGAACAACACCAAGCCTCGAAGCCCGTGCGAAATCCCCACATGACGAAAGGTCGGCAGGGGGCCAAGGAAGACCGTGGAGTTGTAGAGCGAAGTGCTGCCACGGACGAAATGGACATTGCGAAGCAAGGGCCGCAAGTCCTCTGATGCGTCGGGAGCCCAACTAGGTTCCAGAGGGCGGCTCGAAGGTGTTAAGGGGGCTTTGGGGGGGGGCTCCAGGTGGCTCCAGGTGGGGGTCGAAGGGTTTATGAGGATTCTACGGGCCTGAACTGGTAGCAGAAGCCTTGCACGCTCCGCCGCACGAGCCCTGGAACGGGGTGCGCCCACTGCGCTGGAGTCTGTGCCCTGCAAGGGTTTTTGACTCCCGAATTCCCCCTTACGCTCTGAAACCCTGAGCCCTAAAATTTCCCTAAACTTGCTTTTGAGGCTCCTCCGTCAGCGTCCACTGCAGATGCTTCCAGTCTTCACCTTGAGAGAGTGGAATCTTCAAAAGACTGGAGAGTAAAGGACTCCTGGCAGTTCCCATCTGAAGTAAGGTTTTTTGAGGACTCCCCATGTGCACACACACACACATACCATATTTCCTAAGGAGCCCTGTATACAGTCACCGAGACTTTGAGAAGAAGCTGACTTGATGTCCACCAGCCACGCCATCAAACGTAAGATTTGGGGCTGGGGAGGACTTCGGAGGTCTCTAAGGCGCCCACTCAGGGCTTTAGACGCCTCTTCTGTGCAAAATGCCCTCTCAGGCATGTCGACAAAGTTTGCGCAGAAGATGCCCGCAAGTGAATCCAACACGTGATGAGCACACCACTTGTAGCAGAAAGCTCCTCTGGTTCTAGCAGGCGAGCCCGCAGGCAATCAAGGCCCCGGCCGAAGAAGAGGCCGAAGTCCAAGTTCCTGTTCCCAAGCTCGCATGCCACACGCGTGTCACAGCGTGTCTTCGTGTGCTTCAGGGGCTTTGGGCTCAGTGATTCAGCTGAGAGGCTTCCACAACAAGTGAACAAGTTCAGGATTTGGTGGCTTCGGAATTAAGTTAGGGAAGTTAGGGGAGGGGAGGCCGGCAAACATCAGCCATCAGCTCAGCACGCATGGAGATTCTGATTGAGAAAGGCCATGTCCACCAAGGCTTCGTGGACATGGCCCGGTGAGCGCGTGGGCTCATGTGCTTGAGAGGACTGCTCTACTTCCGCTGGAGCCTGGGTATCGGATGTAGTGTTTTCTTAAGGTTTCAGGTAGGAAGAACCCTGACGGCCTGCCATGCACCACATGGCCATCTGCATCTTGGGCAACAATGGAAGTGCATCCTCCTTCAATCTCATACCTGGGAGGTGCAGACCCTGCAATCTTCAATGAAAAACAACACTTTGCAGAAAATGGTTAGTAGCATACGGTGTCTTATCCATCTGAGGTCCTCTTCAACTCCTTTGACGGTTGAGACTGTGCCAAGGCATACGGGGACCGTAAGCCGTAAGCTTCGAGCATCATGTTCACGAACAAGATCTCCTCCTCCGAAATGCCTGTCCAAGGACTTGCGAATCTCACGTTGCTCCCCTCGAGAAGAAAGACACAAAAAAAATTGAACTAGTATCTCTTGGGGCACCCTCCTACTTTTTGGAAACGGCCCGTTTGGAGGCGGATAGGTGCACTAAGAGCAGGCGGCATACCCCCCCTCCTCCAATCGTCAGATGTAGGATTGGAAGAAGGGTTGTCCCAGTTGTCCCACAGACTGCTCTCATCAAGTACGGGCGGTGACGTGTTAACTGCTTGGGTGTGGAGCTTAATGCACCAGAGCATGGGACACAAACTGCCCCCAACCAGTGTGGCGAGTGTATCTGCATCTGCGCGAGAAATGTCCAGGCCGGCGCCTGTGACGTTCGCGATTCCGCGCATCTCAAGGCCATACTCACCTTTCCGGGTTCGGCAGCTGACTGTGGGGAATACATCGGCAAGCCCCCTCCTACCCCTTTCAGGGGTGTCCAGTAACCTAGGAAAAGACACTGTGCCCTTTTTGTGCTTCATGGGGCTCCTAATACAAGAACTTCACACTGAGCTTCTGGCCCATCTCCGTCAGAACCTGCTGGGCCAGCTGCTTAAATTTCTTCGAGTCCTGGCGCAGAGACAGGGACACGCCCCGCGAACCCTCTTGAAAAGCTCTTCTGCCTCGATGAGCTTGAAGATCTCGGCGGAAAGGACGCCTTCAGAGGCGGCACACAGCGAAGAAAGGAGCCCCCAAGGTTTAAAACCTGACCCTTCGCTCTGCAACCCGCCCAGATTCCCCCAAAGAAACTTGCAACCCCAAACTTTGGAACAACTCTGTCCAAGGCCTCTTTAGGCTGGAAAAACAAGAAACCACTCCAAACCCGAAGGAGGCTACGGTCAAGGCTCTCAACAGCAAAGCTTCCTGGGCCGTGGCACTGGAGGGTTCCGAAAAGTGCTCGCAGGAGTCCGCGTGTTGGGGGGCTTACGAGGTTTGGTTTGCCTTTCTCAATCCCCAGCTGCCAAGAGGCCGATCAAGTTCTTGAAGTGATCGATCATCGTCCTCGACACAGTTTGGGGGAAGTCAAAATGCAAGCATCTAGCTTGCCATCCTAAGAATTGCCTGCACCAAACAGATCAGATCCCCTGCCTTATAAGCTCCATTGATAGCAGCCAGGCTCTCAAGCTTGGCCGAGTGGCTTCAATGGTGCCGCTGCGCCTCGCATGGCACTCACCCATCGCTGCTCGGGGGGCAGATCCAGGTCAACGACCTCAACCCAGTTGAGATGGAGTCGAGGGTTCAGGGGTCAGGGGCCTTTGTCGTCACGCTGCAAGATGTACGGCAACAGGCTATGAAGGGTCTGAGCATGAGATTTGCCGAGTGATGCCGGGCTCCAAGTCTCGATACGGTTTAAGAATATTGAGTAGGGTTGAGGATCAACTGCAGCATACCTGCATATGGCATGAAGAGAGATCGTACCAATCCCCGCAGTGGATGTCTGCGTGAATGTAAAGGTGCCTCACTGCCCAACCCGGGATTTCCCAACTCCATGTGAGCACACGCTTTTGTCTCATGATAAGCTTGCATTGTGGTGGAGGGGATGGCTACAGCCAAACAGTTCCGAACACATCCTGCAAACCTATCCCTAATGCATCTGCCCGACACGCTTAAGCCCAGCCAGTGGCTCCCGACCTGTGACTTCAGAGTAACAAGGGCTTGGGTGCTGTACAGAGGTCCAAAGGGTTTAGGGCGAGTGCGGTGATTTTCAGGGCCAGGGTCTGGCAAACAGCTCAGAAGCCACTGGGAGTCGTGCCACCCACCCAGGCACAATGTGGCTGGCGTTTCCCTGCAAAAGCAAAGCGCAGCGAAGTCAAAGGCCATACTTTGCAACAAGAAGCTTTGGGACGCATGTGCGCAGATTCGGGTCAAGTGCGTGTCCGTCAAGCAGAACGCTGGCAAAGAGTGCTCCACGACCTCCTTTGGGAGGTTCCTCCCAAAGACACAAGAAGCTCTCGACCCTACATCCCCCTAAACACCCCAAACCCTAAACCCATCATACTGAAACACTTCAGGCTTGAAGGGTTCATCTCTGTAACCCTAGCGGCCCTTCGTTTGGCATCCCCCCGAGCCACAGCCCCCCGTCCCTCAAACCCTAACGTTTCCGAAACTGTCTGACGATTTTCTCGAAAACTCGCCCAATCCGGGGACCCTACTGTCACATTCTAAAAGCCTCGGATTCTCACACTTGAGCTCAGTGGAAACGTATCGCCCCGCTTGAGAGCCCTAGGAAGTTTAGGCCGCTATAGGGCTTTGGGGCTGAGGGCTTTGAGGGTCCCAACCCCAAAGCCCTGAATACAAGAGCTTTTACCGGGAAATGAGCCAGCCTTGAACTGGCCATAGTCTGGATCCGAAGACTTGATGTGGCAGCAATGAGCATCCTGGATGCTACAAATGATGCCAGGTACAGAAGAACCCAGCTTGGACGAAGTGCCGTGGCCGATGGCCGGAGAAAGGGCGTGAAAGAGCGCGGTAACACGTTAAATGCGCTGGCTCTCTCTCTCTCTCTCTCTCTCTCTCTCTCTCTCTCTCTCTCTCTCTCTTGCTGGCCAAGCGGCGAAGTCGTGGCACTCCTGCAGGGTCAGTCAAGATCTATTTTCGGGTTCTCCATTTTTCGCTCCCTCGCCAGCCCGGCATCCATCCACTCAGCAAGCCGCTCAATGCGTAGTGACTTAATACTGCACGTGCTGCATGTGGACACACCAAAAGAGAGCACCTCGAGCTCGACCAGCACATGCTTCAGCTTGCAAGCTGGGTAACTATGATCATGGGTCAGGCCCATGTTTGACCGTCACGTCTCATAACAGCATTCCCATGGCACCGGCGTTGCCTTGCAGAAGGCCAGCAGAGGGGTGAGCGCCGCAATCAGTCGCACCAGCATGGCTGGGAAATGGCTCTGCTCTGCAACCCTATAAGCCCTAATGGCCTTTGGAGGGCTCCTAAGCTATGGCCCAAGGAAATGCTGCGGAGTCACAGCAGTCGTGGCAGAACCCGTCTTTAAGGAGGGCGGGGGACCGAAAAGGCTTTGCGACGTGTCTGGTAAGTTTACAGGGCTCACGGCTGTTTAGTTAGTTTACGGGGCCGTGCGTCGCATGTTTGATCCCACCTGCGTTTTGTGTCCCTGCACCCAACTCAGCCTCCCACAAGTGCAACCCTTGAATCGGGGACTGCTTGGCGGGATTGGGCTGAGGACCCAATGAAGCCTTGCAAGAGGACAACCCTGTAAACAGAACGTAAGAGCTATAGCGTTTGGGGCTGTCGCGATGTAGCTCGCGAACAAAGCGCAGAAGGTGGTGCCAAGAACGTGTTTCGTTGACCGCGTAAACCACCAGTGTGACTACCTGGCCTGATTTCACCGGACGCCGTAGTAAAGCCAAACCGCTCAGGCCGACAAAGCTTGAAATTCCTGGCAGTTCGGCGGCCTTTGAATCATCGGCACGGCGATACTTCTCGAGTGTCAGCTCGTCCTGGCTGTCCGGTGTTTCTTCTGACTCAGAGTTCAGTACCACATGAAACCTGTTGAGGCTTGGTTGCTGTAAGATCCTTGCATTTTCGGCTTAGCGCTGGAGAGTTGCTGGTTCTTGAACGCGACACTGAAGGTCTCACCATCCAAGACCCGAATACTGCTGGACCCTGCCCTTCAATCACTGCAAAGAACTGAAGCAGCACCACGAAGCCTAAACGTTTACTGCATGATTTTCCACTAACAACCATAGAGCATCATAGAACTAGACAGGCACTCCCTAAAAGCAGGAACTGCATATTTAAAGGTTAGAGCAGGGGTTCATCAGGTAGGGGCACATTTCAGTGGTGTCTGAAGCTTCGGGCTGGTCCTCCTCCTTCTGCCTGGCAGCTATGGCCCACTGCTCCAGCTCTTCCTGGTTCCAATTCATCTCAAGCTTGAACCTGCGCAAGGCGAAGGGCATCGGATCCGTCTTCTGCTGAGCTATTTGAGTTGGCTCTTGGGGCAAGGTGAGGCCAGGCCCGGAAATCACAGGCACGAGCACCATCATGCGGAGCCTTTTTTGACCGCTGCCAGTCGTTCACGTTCAGCTGCCGCCAGAGCACCCAGTCACGCTTCGTTATGCAAATCCCCCGACATTGTTGTCACATTCACTTGCAGCGACTCTGCCAGAACCTCGGCCTGTACCCGAAACCCTACACCCCTAAACCCTGTCTCTACTTCCTGAAGGCGGATGTGGCTCAGGTCCGCACCGGAAATGTAAATAGTAGGTGCTCTGACACCGCATGCTATTGAATTGAGTGGAAAGTACTTCTGTCGAGCGTCAACACTAAGCGTCGAGCAAGCAAGGCTTTGGCTTCTACTCCTAGAGTAGAGTCAAAGATCATAACCTAAAAAGTCTGCCAACTTTGAGGTGGGGGTCTTCCGGCAACGACTCCTCAGACTAAAGGTTGATGGCCCCAACCTAATCCCCTAAGTCCAAAGCACCAAATCAACGCATTTGGCTTCACCCATCGCATGGCGGGCAGCAGCCAGGTCCACAGAGGCTGCCTCTTCCTGGCAAGCGCTTGGGAGGCAGAGTGCACGGACTATAGAAACCTATCTAATTGGAATGGGCAGCTGAGTAACTCATAAATATGAAAGCATATCGGGATTCCTAGTGGTTAGTATTGGTTATTTGGGCTTGCTTTTGTCTCAAGTTAGGGTTGTGACATGTTTTGAGCGTATGGGCCCTTCACGTCTTACAAGGCAAACGTGCTGGGCTTCAGGGTCAAGAGCCTTTAGCAGCACTCCCTTCCGTTTACACCCTTACTCGTCGGAAGGCTGGCAACTGGGACGCTTGCCTTCAGAACACTCAGGCCCTGTAGTTAAATCGTAGAAGTCCCCGTCTTCAAGCAAGAAAGCCTGTCCCTCCAACCTGACTTAGACCCTTGATGGCAGTTGCTGTTTCGGGTACTTAGTTTCAGTTTACCAGAACTGAAACGCAACTTAAGCACTACCCGAAACTGAACTGTAAACAGAGCCTCGGTGGTGTACCTCGAGAGCCACTCTCTTTTCACAGAGCCAACTGAAGGAGGACGGGCCATTGAACCGTCTCCAGCTCGATGTCAGGTTTGGCGATTCTCTCGAGTCCAGAAGGGGTTGCAGGTGGTACCAAGAGGAAGTCCATATTTACAACAACAATAATCATAAGAACGACAGTAGTCATCAAAGAACATGTTTGCACAATGGCTCCAAATTTATGGCCCTACGGAGCCAAGGAGCTCTCGCTCCCGGATCCTGCAACCCCCTGGTGCAAGGCATCAACGTCACGCAGATCCCGCCATCGAAATGACGATAAAGGCCAGACGAAAGCCAAGTGTGCAGCTTAGGGTCATGGCTCGAAGGGCACCTCAACCCGAAAACCCTCAAGTCAGGGGGAGTCAGGTAACCGTACGCGTGACCACCTCAGCCATGCTCCCTTATTCTACCCCGGCGCACATCACTTCGACCAGGCGCAGGCTCTGCGTTCATTGACAGTGCAGATCTCTGCTGGCTCCTTCTTGAGATGCATTCTGGCCAAGAAGTTTTTAGGCCTACGGAGGTGCTGTGCGAGATGCATGCGTTGGGTGGAGATTAGCCTTTTAAGCGCGATCCGTCTTTGGGTTAAGAAGCCCGCCACCCACCAAGTTTGAGGTGTTGAGCTTGGTCTATTTCGAGTGATCCAAACGGGGGGGTTTCCCTGTTTCTCTGTCACTCCTGTGCTTTGGGATCAAGTGTTTTGGGTTTGGGGGCTTTCGTGCAGTGTTATGCTCCGGGTCGGCGAATATAAGCTTTCAACCCGGGCACATGAAACCTGAGGAAAAGCCCGAAGGACCTGCGCATGAACGTCCTCTTCAGGCTACATCCCAACACGCATCTTCACGCACAACCAACGAAAGACGAGGCCCTTACAACAACGGCAAGCAGCAAGCGAGACCGAGCAAACTCTAGAACTTTCATGGCTTCTCAGGAAGAAGGGTCCACCACCATGCGCGCACACACACACACACACGGAGGCAGGTGCCCAGGGATGCTCCGCCAAACTTCACAGGGTGAGATTGGGCAGAACGGGATGTTTGAGGGTGTTGGAGCTTTGATCGGATCCAGCAACTAGCCAAGTGCTCCGCGGCAATCATGCGTGCGTCTCAGTGCCCTCAACGGACAATCTGTTTAATCTTGTCGAAGAGCTTCTTGAGTAGGAGAACCGAGTGAGACGCAACTCACGGAAAAGACATCCACATTGGAGGAAGACAAGCCTACATTGTCAGGACTCTGCAGCAAGGCTCCACGTGCATCTTTGCTGTCTTTGCTCAAAGCAACTGGTTGCCTCAGATTCAATTAATCTTGCCTCTGCTGTACAGACTTAGTACTTAGGATAGTGATGCACCGTCTACCCCACACGGGTCCCCAGAGTTTCGAACTGCAGAGTCCCTGTTCCAGCGGCTGGGCAGGCGCATCAACTATTCTCAGGCATCCCCCGCTTTGAGCCCGGTAGGCTTCTGGGATCCACATAATGATTCAGAGGCGAAGGGGGGATGTGCTCCTAGGAACACGATGGCTGGCAACAAGCATGAAAATTCTGGAGACTGAGGGCTGAGAGGGCGCCTTTGGGAAGAGGTGTTTCACTGAACCAGTCCACCACTGCCTTTTAAAACCGAGTCGATGCCCCTGCTCAGTTGCTCAGTCCACCTTCTTGAGGTCTTTCACAGCTTGCGAGAGCTTCAGGATGGAGGCATTCAGGTCGGCTGGCATCTCCTCCCCCTGCGCACGATGCGGTGTGTTTTGCATTTCTCCTCAGAAGGGTAACATAGGGTAACCTTGATTCCTTAAACCCTCACTTCCTGGCCTGCGTGTGCGTCATCGTCCACCCCGACAGGACACCTGCCTTCTCAGCCAGTGAATTTGGCTTCACCGCTTTGATGCCTCGGGGAAGAGACTTTCACTGTAAAGCTCAGTTGATGGTCACAGTTGCCTGGGCTCAGGGCTGCACGCCTTTGGAAACTGAGACTGAAGACTGAAAACCCAACAGCAAGCACACACAGCAGCAAACTACGAATCCCAGAACCTGAGCGTTTCAAGAGCATCCGGGCGGCACAATGGGGTGGTCTTGTAGAAATCCATGCCCAGCGGCTTCGCATCGAATGCGATGTTCTGAAGGGGTCCATATTCAGTTGAGTGGGAGGTCAGCTTGGCAAGGCGAAGGTGTCAGAATTCAGCTGCTCCTAACAGAACTAGCTGGCCTTCGATTCAAGGGCTTGCTGCAGTTGGGGCGGCAGCGAGCAGAACAGCAGTCACAGTAGTCATCATGGTGGTAGTGGTAGTGTCAGTGGTCGTGGCAGGTCATGGTCGTGCTGATCGTGGACAAAGTGGGCGCTGGCAATAGCTAGCGCAAACTGGACAGTGCGAAATTGCAGCAGCAAAGGCCCAAACCATAGCAACCGAGAAAGGAGCTGCATACTGAGCATTGCCGCAACAATAGCTACACCAAATTACTAAAGGGTGGCAAGTCTAAGCAGCAATCGTGTCGCAGTAGCAGTACCAACACCAGCAGCCGCAGCGGTCGTAGTCGCATGCGTCCTCGATATAACTTCTACAAGGTGTCATCGCCGAATGATGTCAACAGCACCTCTGGGAATCATGGCAGAGTTGGCGGTGCCAGTACTCATTGCAAAAGCACCCACATTAGAGGCGAGCACCAGCAGTGTATTCCACAGCAAAAGGTTTTTCAATGACCAGACTCAAAAAGCATTGCTGCGAGATGTACCTCCCACTTTCAGCATCTTCGAGATCTTGGCATAGCAAACACTGAAGCTGGCATTTGCAAAATTCGGCAACGTGTTCGTCGGCAAAAAAACCTGCTACCCCCCCCCCCCCCCAGCCCGCACCAAGCACGTTATCAGGGCGCCTTGATGGTCCCGTCCGGCAACCTGGGGCGTATGAGCTGAGTGCCAAGTCCCCACCAACCCAAGCCCCTAAAAACCCTGGGTCCAAGAGTTGAAGGGTTCCTGCTTCAGTGATCAGCTCGGCTCTTACAGTCTGCCCGCACCTAAGCCTAAGCCAATGCTTGGGACCATGTCGGCCCTGAACTACCTGGAATGCCAGGAATCACGATGCAGATCCCTTACAGCTCTCCTCCCAAACAAGCAGGAAACTGCGAATCCAACAAACCAGGAAACCGCCCAGATCCCTCTCCAAGGAAACATCCAAAAACAAAACGCTGAGACCCCTCATTGCAAGCCCTTGGACCTCCAAACCATCAACCCGAAAACCTTGAACCCTCATCGCTGCGTGCTGCCCCAGAGTCTTGAAGGTGAAGTTCACTGCACCAGGACCGGCCGTTTCTGGCGCGGGCCTGGCATGACTCTCTTTTCGTTGAGCCCGCAGTGCCAAGACACTGCAAACAGGCCAAGGACAGTCCCCCCAACAACCCCCCGAAACATCCCGAAACCCGAAGCCCCCAAACGCCCCAAACGCCCAAACGCCCCAAACCCAATGAAACTTCATCGCGGTCTGAGCAGCTCCGGCGCTGCTGGCGCTGCCTCCGGAGGCGTCTCCTGCAAAGCCTTGGGAGGCGCCGGCTCGGCCGGGGCCTCGGAAAGGGGGCTCTGAAGGGTGTCGGGGGGGGTTCAAGCTTGGGGGTTGAGGGTTTAGGGCTTGGGGCTTAGGGTTTCGGATGCTACGATGTGATAGGGCCTACAACGGCTCAACAGAGGCTTGCAGAAGTTCATGAACTACGTGATGCCTTGTGATGAACATGATGTTGGAGAAGACATGATCCTGCTAGGTTCGTAATATGGATCCAGCATTATCTCGATTGCATGTCCATTCTTCGGACATTTATACAAAGGTATCTACGCGCTTGGGGGTTACAGAAATATCTCGGGTTGTGCTGCGGTGTGGTGGCTCTTTTTCGGGGCTGCCGCGTCACTGGTTGGGCCCGCACCCAACAAACCCCAACACTCTAAACCGGGGCAAGGAGAGAGGACCAGGCCTGGTCCATGGCTTTCTCCTGCTTCAGCCTCAGCTGCGATTTTTCCACCCAGTGGCTTCAAGACCAAAACTGTCAATTTTGGGGGGAGTCTGGGCAATTGCGGGTACTTTGGCGGTGGTGGGCGGAGGCAAGGGGTACGACCAGTAAGTGTGTGGATCCAAAGATTTTCCAAAACTTTCGGGCGTGGAATCACGGAAATGCCCAACCATGTAGAAATCTCAAGGGCCAGCATGGAGCCTTGCTCAGCCTTGCGATGAACAAGTAGGGAACAAATTTTGTACCATGCCTAAAAGCCTAAAAGCTTAAGCTTCTAAATCGAGACCCCACAATGGACCCATGATGCATACATACATACATATATATATATATATACATATACATATAGATATACATGTGTATATATATATATATATTTCTATCCATTTTTTACTTATAAGCCCCAGCAAGAGGATCAAAAGCTTCCCGAAGAGCCTGATGCATCACAGGTATCCCTACAAGATCGCTGTTTGCTAGGGGGATGACTTTATTGAAACTAGATTTACGGTGATTTACGGTCTGGCGAGCCAAGCAACACTGGTGCGACCTCCTCGATAGCCCCATTTCCGTCGGTGGCGGCACAGCAAGCGCAGAACATGGCCTGGCTTGCAAAGATCTTCAAGTCCCAAGCTGCCCCTGAACACGCACAGTGGTAAAGTTGGGCAAGCGCACCTGAATCTTTGAACCCACAGAATGGCTTCGGCTGACTACGCTTACTCTTTTCTGCAAAGCACTGTCCCCAATTGATTCAAGCACCAGGCTGAAAATTAAAGGGGTTGGCTGGTAGTGGTAGCTCTTCAGGTGCAAGTTTACGATTGACATGGCTAGCCAGCGTCAAATGGAGTCGTGCCAATGGGCTACCGAGCACCTGAGCTCATAAACACGCGACGGGATCGAAGACGTCCAAACGAGTTAACACTCCCCTGAAACCTGCAAATCCCTGCTGGAAATTCCGGCTTAGGCTACGTACAGGCAGGCCTCGGCAAGGCTTCTTCACGCAAGCGTTGCAAGTTGCAAGAATGGGTGGCAAACTCTGCTTGCGAGCCATCGTGCCGACATGCAGGTTGATAAGGCGGCGGGGCGCAGGGATCCCTCGATCCTCAACCCTAACCCCTAAACCCGAAGCTACCCAGACATTCTTCATGCAGTGCAGGGCACGGGGCTCAGTAGCTTGGCTGTGATACAAGCTTCAGCTCCAACGTGGCGGGCCTTGTGAAGAGACCCACGGGGCATCTTGAACCCTAATCCTAAGCCCTCATACACACCCCTAAAGCCGAAAACCACATCAACCCGAAGACCCTTGGATCCCAAATCCAACACCAGACACACCCAGACCTGCAGCCGCCAGAATGCGCAACAAGAGTTACAGGGTAAAGGGGCCCTTTAAGGCCTTTGGGGCCGTTGGGGCCTCCAGGGTCCTTAAGCCCAGATAAGCAACCCCGAAGTTTGTGTATGAAACTTGTGAGCGATGATGTGGCGGTATGGCGTTGGCAACTCCCCGCTTTCCCTACTCCCTAGTAAGACATGAACCGAAGTGCCAGCTCTGCCAGAGCCTCTGGAGCATCTGCCGCCGGTGCCAGCAGCAGGGACATGAACACACCAAAGCACCACGGTAGTGGGATGCTGGGACGCCTCTTCAAACTTTGTGTCAGGCGCAGGCTATCCTTCTCAACGCCAAAGTCTCAACAGTACTCACTCGGAGCACGTCTACGACATGTCTCGACTGCCGTTTCGAGCAAAGACGGGCGAAGCATCTGATAACTAGTGCCACGTGCTTAGCAGCGTACACTGCTTAGGACCTGGGTAGGAACCCGAACCAGCAATAACAATCCAGCAAAACAAACGCACAAGCATGTAAAGCCAAATGCCCTGATTTCCTGTACCTCTGCAAGGCCTAGGAAACTACAAACCGCACGCAGGTCATCACTCGATCATGAATCCGAACAACACTTGATCCCATGGTATATTACCTCTCAATGCATCAGCATCAAGGCGTCAAGCTCAAGTGGCTTTCATCCTGACACAAGGACAGCATTTTACATACGGAACATATGGAAATGTCTCTAAACGCTCATCAAGGCCCCACAGCGGGGGAGGGCGAACTGGTCCAACTTCTCGTTCCCACGCATCAGCTCGTTTGAGAATGCGTTGATCTGGTCCTGGACTGCCGGACCAAGAAAGCTCCCCCCGGAACTGCCCTGAACCTCTGCAGGTTGGAGGCACCCAGGCCAGTCTGATCCCAGTCTACCTCCCCACGCAGGATCAACTAGCAAGCCATGGAGTGTGTGATGCCCACTTGAACTTGAACAAGAAAGCCCGAACCCTGACAAAGACAGGTAGATACATCAGGAGACAGATAGATGCTAGATGCTTCATTGCACCCCCAATTGCAGCCCGAACAGCATTCAATGCTTTGCGACTCCTTCCTCACCCGTACTGCATAAAATGACTGACACAATTGCATCTTCGGGCTGGGGCTGACTAGTCGCCATTGGCGGGTACACCCACGAAGCCAACAACGCCTAGACATGCTTCTAAATAAACTTTCGAACGTCTTCCGGCGATTGCTGTCAGGAATGCGGGACGGAAGTCCGGTAACGGCTTTGCACATGATTTTCACCCTCAAGGAGTTCAACAACTAAAGCCTCAGCTGCTTCTTGTGAGTCTTATCTTGCGTGCAACAATGCGGTCTCCAGAGATCTATGCAAGGAGTCAGTACCAGAACTGCAACGCATTCACTACATCGCCCCAGCAGCCGTGACCCAAGAGACAAACCCCGAGCAGACCAACGGGGCCTGTGTGTCTTCCAAGACCTTATGCAGCCGAACGATCTCAGATTTCAGCCGTCCGAGCTGCCTCAGAGTAGGGGCGCGAAGTGAAGGTCGGATTTGCTTTCATCGGAGCAGCTCAGTAGCTGTAGCGCACCGGCAGGTCTCCTCTAGGCGGAAAAATCTCGTAGAAACAGGTCGTTCTAGCTTCGAGCTTAGGCGTACACCCTAAACTTTGGCCCTGATTCTCAATGCTGCACTTGAAACCCGCCTACGATTGGAAAGTTTGCTCTCAAGCTCTGCCCTTGACGCCAACCATCCATTGCGCCCTTAGCCCGACAGAAACCGAGGGCTGAGCCGATTCGTGAGCGCCTGCAAGTTCCAGCACCCCCCCCCACACCCTCGATTTAGGGGAAGGCTCCTGTGGCTTAGAATCGGGAACAATGGAGGCAGAAGACTTGCACCAACTTGAAATGCTCGAAGTTGAGAGGTCGTGCCAGAATGGAAGGATTCGGAGTAGTTTCCAACTGGTGCATAAAATCCTTACCATGCAATCAGCCTAGACTGAGCCATCGACCCCAAATCTAGACCGTGACTTCGAGAGCTATTCACTCTGAAGCCCTGCAGATCCTGCACATCAACACCATTTTGGGTTCTTGGCCGTCCTCAAGAGTGGTGCTGTTGAAGGTCCCAGCAGGGCTTGGATTGACAGGGTCTGCGCGCCCAGCGGCCTGAAGATGTTCCTCTGTGGCGGCTTCATTCCTTTTCGCGTCGACGAGCTGCTGAGTGTTGACGAGCTCCTCCGAACCGAAGGCAAGGCACTAGTGACTCCGACCAGCTCTAGCCTGAAACAAACAGAGACCCTGTGCCAAGTCTGGACGTTAACCTCGAGCTGCTTGCCTTGGCTGTGGATGCAAATGTGGTTTTCTGACACGTCTCGATGGCTCTGGTTGCCCTGCTCGCTGTACACACTGTACACTACGAGAAGTGCCAGCGCAAGGCCAGCAATGCTCGCCTTCTTAATTCAGCTCAAAGGCACGACAGATCCACATGGCACCGCTGGCGTGAACGCTTCGAGGAACGGTCCGTTTCTCATTAATCGGTCTATATAACCTAGAAGACCTGGATGTAGCTTCTGAAGGCTAATTACAGCACATCATGACACGAATCAGAGTAGAGTCACGAGTTGACAAGACATTGTTGTGTACTCGGCTGCACGGGGTGGGAATGCGTCCAGCGCCGGTCGCTTCAAACTCCGCGTAGGATCCGCGCGTTGCTGCTTCTCGGCACTTGCCAGTACTACATCGTTTCTCACTGATATACGTAGACAGCATTCGGCGGATCCTTGAAATGATGATCTCTTGCCATCGAGAACCCCGGTCTCTCTTGCTCAGGAACAGGGTTCATCGGTCATGGCACCCAACTCAGCCCGGATCGTCCAGGCTGGTGAGCACCTCACACTGTCCGCAGGCATTGGCTCCGAAGGAGACAACTTCGCCAGTGTCCCGCACCGCGCACGTGTGCTGATAGCCTGCTACCACAGCAACAAACGGACCATGGTCCGGCACATCGCACTGCCCTACGGCATTATTCCCAAAGCATGCCAGCTGCCCAGTAGCTGTCAATGCACAGGTGTGAGCGATCCCAGCAGACACCGCGATGACGCGGCCCAGGTCTGGCACATCGCACTGGCCATCCTCGTTGCTCCCGAAGCAGCGCAGCGTTCCGTCGGTCTGCAGAGCGCAGGTGTGACCCTGCCCTGCTGAAACTGCCTGGACCGGGCCCAGATCTGGGACCTCGCACTGGCCGACATCATTGTTGCCAAAGCAGACCAATTCTCCATGGGAAACTGCACAGGTGTGAGCAACCCCAGCGCTGACAGCCTGGACGGGGCGGTCCTGAAGGTCCTTGGGCACCTGGCAGCGACCGCTCCGCTGGCTGCCGAAGCAGGTGAGGACTCCCTGCGTGTCGATGGCGCAGGTGTGCTGGAAACCCGCAGACACAGCCACAACTTTGCCCAAATCTGCCGGTGGCTGGCACTGGCCAGCACTGTTCAATCCGAAGCACACCAAGTCCCCATCTGCAGTCGTTGCACAAGTGTGCTGGAAGCCTGCGGCCACTGACCGCACCGCACCCAGACTCTCCGGCACGTCGCACTGGCCGTAATCATTTCCACCGAAGCAAAGGAGCCTTCCAGCATTCACCACGCAGGTATGCTGCACACCAGCTGCCAGAGATGTCGGCTTGGTGTGAGAAGCAATGACCTTGGGGCCAACTCTGCATAAAGCCCTTGAACCCTGCACTTCCCGCTCCATCCTTCTGCGAACTCAGAACTATCTGGTCACCAAGCCATTCCAATGTCCAAAACCCCAGTCCAAACCCTGAACACGTTCATATACGCTCATGTTCTGTGCTCTGCTCAGTATCTGCCTGCTCCGCCTCCGTGCTCGGCCAGGCCAGGAGAGGCCAAGGGAGAGCCTCCAAGCGCTTGGGGGCATTCGTGGCTTTTGGTTTTCAAGGCCTTCACGGATTCTGCTCTTGGCCCACTGCTACTCGTATGGACAAGCTCGGAAAAATAGACGGCAAGTCCTCGGGGCCTAACGTTGCCGAAGCTGAAGCCCTGAACCCCGAACAAAATTGGGGTATCCAAGCTACAAGCTCCTCTACAGCAGATGAACACTTATCAGTTTAGGGCGCCTAAAACACCCCAAACCCTAAACCACAGCTCCTAAAATTTTGCCTTTTGGAGGAGGGGCCTGGAATGCACTGAGCTTGGGGGCATCTCGCAGCGCGAGGCCCTGGAGCCAGGACTTCTTTGGGTTTAGTGTTTAGGGCTTCCAGGGTTTTCAGGTTTCTAGGGTTTCTAGGGTTTCTGGGGTTTCTAGGGTTTCTAGGGTTTCCAGGGCTTCTAGGGTTTCTAGGGCTTCTAGGGTTTAGGTCTGAGGGTTTAGGGTTTAGGGTTTAGGCTAGACCTTGGAGAGCTGTGAGCTCAGGGCCTACAGCCTGCATGGGAAAAGCCTTTTTCTTTGGACCGGGAGTCGATATAATTGTATAAGCGGCCCTATTCCGGAAACGGGGGGTGGCTCTTGTATTCGAAGAATCCCCCATCGAGCTAAGGAACGCTTGCATGTAGGGGGCACAGGTTTCCAGGCTGAGGGTTTCGTATTATGTGTGGGTCTTTTCTTCTTCTTGTTGTTAACATGAAGACTGGTAGGCTCCTACTTTCACTTTTGCTCCATAATCGAAACTGTTAAATGATTGCTAGTCTTGTTGGGTTAGTAAGTTATATAACCTCAAGCCAAATGGCTTGGGAGCTGAGACAAGATGCAAGGGGTATCAGTCCAATTTGAGCTTTGTTCGGTACTTGGTCTGGACATTCAGATGTGTTGTGTAGGTACTGGAACTGCCGAAGATGGTCAGGAACCCGCGTGCTAATAGCAGGTTCATCTGCGAAGGTTTCATCAAGCCTGAGCGCGTCTGAGTCCTTTCAGTACCGCATTTCGCCAGTTGCGGCCCTGTTGAATACCCGGCGAACGCTCTGAAGAGCCCAACTGGAACGTCAAAGCAACGACACCACTGGGCAAGGCGTGCCTGCATCCGCTGCGCATCCGGGAAGATCCCGGCCAGCGCCATGGGCATCGGGGATGGTGCCCAGCTTTGGGGCTCTTTTGGGGGGCCTTGGGCTTTTTGGAAGGTCGAACCCATACACGTCGAAGCAAACGGATTCCTAAACCCCACGAGTACCCTCCCGGACCCATCCCTCCGCTCCCCCCACCACACGTTCTAGTAGGCTGCTCGAGCCGACATGCTGCTCGACATGGCACCAGGTTGAAACACAGAGGCTTAGGGTTTCTAAGAGTATTCAGGGTTGGGTATGAATCAGATGTGGTCTGTGCTCTGTGCTGCTCATCGCAAGCTTGCACTCTGCAAGCGTGTACCCGGCATGTCGTTAAGCCGTCCTGCTGTACATTGACCAAGTGGTCCGTCATGATCTTGACACGAGCGCCATCTCTCTCGAGTTGCTCCTCTGCCCAAGTCGGTTTTTTGCCCCTCAACTAGCTCCCCCAACTCAACTTGGGTTTGTAGTGGACAGCAATGGCACCCAGGGCCACCCGGCACTCTGCAGAAACCCTGGCCAGAGCCTCGATGGACTCGATTTGGGCCTGCTTCTGCTTGACCTGCATTCGTTTCCCTTTTCGTAGCAGCTGTGAAAAAGGTTGATCTGTTAGCTTTGGGCTGCTACTCTCAACCCTAAAAACCGCAACCCGACAGAACAAAACCCTCAAGAGAGGTTCCCTCAGTGGATGCTGGAGATCTTGCTTGTCTGCTTTTCTGATCCCACGCCTTACTCTGATCATCAGAGTCTGATGGCTACGACGGCGAGTAGTACTTTAACTTCTAGGATACTGGAAGCTTCTACTGCGACTAGGATACTAGAAGCGTGCGGCCCGCAGGCTGCGGTGGGTTGGGGGAGGGGGGTTAACCCGGGCTGAGGCACCCAAAGCTCAAGGGCGACACCATCACGAAGGGGTGTCCAAAATCAACTTCGGGGGCCGTCAACTGGGGCGGGCCCAGAAAAGCAGGAGAAAACAAGCCATCGGTCGAGAACATGCCAGTGGGTGGGGGGGGGGGGGGAAACAAGGAGTGCACAACAAGGACCCTTACTTGGACACGATACCCACACCCAGCACTCAAGAGGGGCGCGACAGAAACACGGAGCAGGACTTAGTTTTGATTTCAGGGCCCGCCACCAAGGAAATCTTCAAAACCCATCCTCTTCGTCCGGCTATGCTGGAATCTGCTAAATCTGCTAGAGCGGTCCACCTCGGCATCAAGCTTCTTGTTCTCCTCACGGCCAATCTGATGCTGCATTCTTCTACTAAGTAGGGAGCCGGGCTTGGTTGTGAAACATCGGCACTGCCACATACTTCTATTTGCTTTCAAGAATGCTCCTGGCAGGTTCAACACGACACCTTCAGCCGCAGACATCCTAAGTGACATCCTACTCCGCACCTCTGACGCATAAGGAGGAAGTGAGTCACCCACGTCGAGCTCCTTAGAAGAGTACTCACTGGCATTTTGCGATGGACTTTGCAGATGTAAGGGCAAAGTAGGACCATGAAGAAGAGGCCTTTGAAAAGTGTGGGGCAAGGGCTGAACTTCTGAGTTGCTCTCGGGCCTGTGCCATCCCAAGGTCCCTGGCCGGACTTCTCTCCCACGAAAAACACCATGTTGTGTCGAGCAACTCTTCAACCCTTCAACCCCTTGTACCTGTAAACTCTGCAGCCTCAGAACCCTCATCATGCAACCTATGTCAATGTCGAAACCCCCTGCTCCAGGGTCTCGACCGTCATTGCTGCGCAAAGTCTCTGGCCCTGACGTGGACTACGGGCTTCTGTAGGCTCTTGAACGGGAAGCTTGGAAACTAAGCTGCCCTGTGTTCTTCCCATTGCAACTTCCAAGTCGACTCCATAGCTCCTCAGGTCCTACGAAACCCCACAAAGAAGCCAAACCCAAAAAGTACACGCAAGAGCAGCCATCAATTGCCTCCAAGTTTCCTGCACGAGCCGAACTGTGCTACCCAAAACCATCTAAACATATGGCCCCTCTTCAGCCCGTCCTGTCTCCCTGCCTCAGCGTCCACGGCAAAGCTTCTGCGAGCTGTCGCCCAGACCCGAGGGCCCCCAGAGTCAGCGCATCTACATCTACTGAGGGCCAAACTGCGAGTTTTGTGTTCGGGGAATCTCAGCGGAGGTCTAAGCGACTGCAAAAAGCCACCTCGGGTTTGTGGTACAAGCTTTGAGGCTTAAGGAGTTTGCAAGGCTAGGGTTTTTCGGAACTGTGGTGCTCTGCTCCAACGCAGGAAAATCCGACCTTCGATGAAAACATGTACACAAGGCGAGAAACTAGGTGCGCGGCGCACATCTCGCCGTGCGTTTTCGTGCAGAGATTGAAAATTAAGATGGCTGGAATTTGCAAAAAATGGTGCTATTTACAAGGTAATCGGCGTCCTGAGAGGTGGGAGCGCGTTATAAACGGCACTCTAAGGGGGAAACACGTATTTTAGTGTTTTCGCCTAGGGAATTCACTCCCTTTAAGGAGTTCTGAAATGCCTAAAACTACTTTCCGTTTTCAAGGATTTTAGGGCTTTCAGGGGTTTAGAGTTTAGGGGCTTAGGGATGTTTTAAGGTGTAGGGCTTTATAGGAAAAGTTGCTTGAGGATTCTGGGGCAGTAGGATTTCCGGAATCAGGTTTTGGGAAAACCTCAACGCAGAACCTCAAACCCAGAGACCTCGACCCTAAGCCCCACATCCTCAATCCTCAGTCCTAGCCCTAAACCCTGGGACAAAGCAGAGCCGTAAGTACCCTTAAACCCCCTAAGCCCTATACACCCTAAACCCTAAACCCTAACCCCCCCCAAGCCCATAGGGCGGATTTAGCAAGTCGGAGGGCTACGGTTTAAGTCTTAGCATCTGCAGAGTTGCCAGAGGCCTAAACCCCGAAGCCCAACATCAAGGCTAAACTCCAAGCCCCAAACCCTGCAAACTGGAGCACTAAATGACTGAGGACATGCTGGCAAGTTGCAATAGGGGGGGCGGAATTATCCCCCCCCCCCCACCCCCCCCCAGCCACCACACCCAAGAAACCGAAGGAAACCACGCGGCGAGATACGCGCCGCGCTCCAACTACTCGGAGTTTAGCAAACATCCAGAATCCAGGGTTCGGGTGTAGGAGTCAGGCCTTACACCCAAAAAAAACGGCACCATCTCACCTGGGCACGACGAGCAGCCAAAAGAAACATTCTGAAAAGCTGGGAATAGGTTCGGTGCAGCCTTTCGATCTCCGAGCTGTGGGCAATGTGAATCTACTACGAACTTTGATCAAAGGGCTTATTTGCTTCACTGGCTTTTCCAAGGTTGCAGGGCTACTGGACGAATGTGCGAGCTACCATCTGACTGACGAAACCTAAAAACTTCTGCAAAGGCAGCTGGTAGCTGGTGTGCAAGTCCGGCGATGCTATCCCTTTTCTTCGCCGTCGGTTTGAGCATGAGCCCTCCGCAAGGGCGTCAAGTAAAGCAAACGGTTTAAAACAAGGCTGGCGCAACGGCCTCATGCGGCTCGCTGCAGGGCTCTTTTGCCAACTGTACACACACAGGGAACACATCTTCGCTGGCTCAAAACATGCACATGTCGAAGCCAGAAGGTCTCGTTTCAAAACCACCTCAATCCCTATTCCTCGAAACTCCCGGAGGAAGCACTCTCAAGCCTCCGAGCCCCCGGATGGCAAGCTGGCAGGCGTTATTCCAAGTTGCTGGAGGGGAAGCTCCTCTGCTCCACTCACCCCGGGGGGAGGTTTGCAAGTGCTTTGTGTGCTCTGAGAGAGTTAGGACATCTACAGGGACGAGTTGAAAAGCAACCCCGAATCAGCGATTAAGCACGGCCGCCTTCAGCTTGCGATATGCCTGGCTCATTGCAGTCAGTCTGCGCGTTGCTCGTTCCACCACCATTGTCTCAATTTCTTGTGAGATACGCGTAGCGGCGTCTAGGGTGTAAGGTTGCTGCAGGCTGTAGCAAGACCCTCAAGGCATCTCAGCCGCAAAAAAGGAACATGCCTTTTTGACTCCTTTAAACCTCCTCGAATTGCATGCCTGGAGTCCAATGATTAGCCATTCGACTAGTCGGACACTGAAGGCTAAACTTTCGGCTAAAGCCCACAACACATCTCTCAAGAACCTCGTTCCAGAAGCCAAGCGTTCAAGCCAATGTAGCGAGAGCCGAGCCTCCTCCCAGCACTCGCCTAACCTTTTCGGTTCCGCTTCGACAGCAGCATCCACACAAATCCCAACCTCGGGGACTTTGAGCTTGCCAGGGAGCAGGGCTACCACAAGAATCGGGTCGAAATCCGGAACGAGTGGATCACACGGGGGAAGCCTTCACTGCACTCAACCGTAGCCATTGAAGTACAGTCTTCCAAGATCGCACAATCCCCTAAACCAGGGCGCCTTGATCTCCCCCTTGTACTGCACAATGCCAAAGTAGAGGCCCAAAGGGGCCATTGCAAAGAAGGTCATGTCCTCGGGGGAAACGGAGACTTGCTGCTGAGCGCTTGGCACTCAGGGGCTTTATATCTTTCATTTTCCAGTGGGGGGGGGAGGGGTTGGGGAAGGGGAGTTCTGCTGCTTGACATACAAATGTATCGGCTTTAAGGTTCATCGGGGTTTCTGGTTGCAAGGGCCGTGCCAAGCCCGAGGCACTTCTTTCGGCTACGCTTTGGCTTTGACTGCAGTCCGAGTTTGTAACACAGCCCAAGGAACATCGAGCGTTTGTCCCAGGAACTGCACCTGGCATCTGAAAGATGACCTCGCTCTCCCTTATGTCTATGGACATCTGCGACTTGCAGAGTAGGGCTTTGGAGTAGGCCTCTTCGGTTTCAGAGCTGAGGCTTCTGTAGAATTTGCGGGTTCGGCGCGGGGCGCCTCCCCTGTCGGGCCCACCACGTTCGACAGCATGACGGTCACCTGGCATTTCGTAAAGAAGGGTCGAGCTCGGGCTTCAGAAGGCGTTCTTGGGGTTTAGTCAAGTAAGGGCTTCAGGAGTCTTGCAACTGTCACTCAGACATTCAACCTCCTTGATGGATTGTCTTCCAAGGAGCCAAATTAGTAGCTCCTGCGGCATTCCCCATAGACTTGACTTTAGCGAGGGACCTTGACTTTACAGGGGCGCCCACGCCAAGGGAGTACCACACTCCTATATTAATGCCAGGATGCAAGGGGCTGAAAGTCTACCTCAGGGTTTACAGGTACGTGACGCCTCTGATCGCGAGAGTCACGAGAAGCTGAGACGAAGAACCTGCCCTGCCAACCCGAGTTGTGGCAGCGAAACCTTGCCGAAGGCATCCAAGAGCAGCTTGGCAGTCAGGGAGGGTGGAAAGCAGCTTTGTGTCGTGATGAACTTGACGATCTTGTCCTTGGATCACAGGTTAAGGATTTGCGGGGAAGGGGGAGGGGGGGTTGCTACCCATGGTACGGACCGCTCGCCATAAAAGCTTCTGCCCGTAAGTTCCAAGCTGCGGGTCCCCAAGCATTACAAAGCCGACACTTCATGGCAGCTGTACACACACACACAGAGCGTGGGCTGAGTACAGCGCCTGGAAGACTACAAGGCCTGGAAGGTCTACAAGCCGCAGTACCCGGCACCCCAAAACAACTCCAGCAGGCTGCCTTATGGGGAGGTTCCGCAAAGGACATCAAACAAGGCCCCCCGAAACCTGCGCACCGGCTTCCCAGCGCCGACTTGTAAAATGACACCCTGCAGGTCATCGCTCGGTCCCGGAACCAAATCCCAAATCCTGTGCTCAAGGAATCTCCGCAGGCCTTCCGAAGTGGACCACCCTTCATTTCACCGCCGGAAGCCTTAATGAGCCTTAAACACATGTGTGAATCTGCCAAGGAGCTCGCACGATCGGCTCCGGCGAGATCTTAATGACGTCGATCTGGGCCTCTCAGCTGAGAGCAATGAAGTGCCACCGCACAAGGCGTTGGGGAGTTGAGGCTAGCGCTTTGGGACCGGGGTAGGGGGGATTATGTAAGCGGGTTTTGACTTCAAGATGCAGGGCTCCTTGCGGGAAGGGTTCCTTGTGGCCGAAGCTCTGTGGATTCGTTGCAACATACGGTCTCGTGCCAGCCTCTCGACAAATCGCCTCAGCGAGCTTAAGGGAAGCCTAGAAAGCCTTAAACGAGCGCTCCATTGCCTTCATCTGGCGCATCACCTCCAGTGGGTCCTCAATGTGCAGCGGGAAGTACCTCAGACCCGGCCATGCGGCCAAAAGCAGCAAGGGACTTTGGGAGGAGTTTGGGGCCCGTCTGAAGGCAAGGCTCAGATGTCCCTGCGAGAACCTGTTCCCGAAGAGCTCGGGATTGTACACGTCCTGGGCCAGGGAGGTCGAGCTGTTAGGGTTCAGGATTCGGATTAATGGGATCAACCATCCGCCATCAGCTGGTGAGTCCAGAGTGACAGCATGGGAACAGCCCAGGAACAACATGTTCACCACGACGAGGTACACAGGGACAGATGCGTTCGGGCGGATACTATTAGCAAAAGGAAGCAGCAGAACATGTTTCCTTAGCTGTGTAGAGTTGTTCTGTCGACAACGAAGCTGTTGAAAGAAACCAAACGCCGGGGCATCATCCGTCTTCCCCCATTTGAGGCCAGGATTCCAGGACACAGGGGACTCAAAAAATCGTCACTCTGCATCAAACACACCATGTTCTGCATTTTTGCCCAAACAGGGGCAGATAGAAAGGATTGCTCTGGGCATTCTGCAGGGCAAGTTGGACAAGCCGAGAGTCATGGTCGTCCTCTCGGCGCATGCTGATGGGCATGTTGGCGCGCACCTGCATAGATCCACTTTCGAAGCCTTGCAAAGTCTTGACAAAAGTCCTAGGACCTGGCACTAACACATGTGGCGGAACAGGGTCCATAACAGCCCCTACAAGGCAGCATTCAATTTCGCCCAGGACGACCGCGTGCAACACCTGTCATGATCTGCATGCCAAGACGATGTGATGTCCGATGTGAAGCCTGCAACCCCGAATTGTGAAGATGCGCATGTGCAACTGCTTCGTGGCCCCTAAACGCAGCATGCCTGTTGCCGGAGCGCTGCAGGTTCGTACCTGCGAGGTGTAAGCTTCAGTCACCATTGGGCATTCATCCGACACAGCCTATACGTAGGTGTACGCATGCATATTTAATACGTATAAAGAACAACACATTCCTGCTGCCGTAACGCCTTGAAGCCTGCAAGATAGTAGGGCTGACTTATGTCATATTATGACTCATCTTAAGCTTCTGAAAACATTCTTGAGCTCCACTACCCGATGACCCCTTCGGAACAGACGCCGCCCACCCTCGCAGGTCCCGGAAACCCTCTCTGCCGGTTGCTCTGTGATTGGGGTAGGGTACAGCTCCAGCACTCCATTTCTCGAAGTCTCTGAGGTGCGCTTGGAGTCAGGAGGCCTGAGAAAGTACTCGCGCAGAGTCAGGTCGGTGAGGGTCATCCTCGGCTTTGGCAGCCCTGCGAACACCTAAGCCTTAGGGGCCAAAATGGGCCAGCATGGCACCGAAATGTGCATGGCTCTATCAAGGTCCCTATGAGCCCGAAGACCCCCAATAGGGTTTTAGGGCTTTCCAGAGGGTAAGGCCCACAAGTCTAGCTGGAACAAGTGGCAGAATGTCGTTGATGGTAGCCCCTGGCAGTTGGTTCTTGATGGCTTTCACTTCCTGGCTGTGCTGGCAAAAGGGACATAGCTCTGCTTGCGCCCCCAATATCCATAGGGTCTCAACTGAAGTCCGTGCTGTGTCCACAGGCGGAACTGAGTGCCGCAGCCTCAATCTGAGGCGCCCAGAAACACCTTGGACCCATAAACCTATATCCACACCAACCTCGAACCCCGAAACCCTAAAACCGAGAAGCCCACAGCACCACCCCTCCCCCCGCGCCTCCCTCCCACCCTCTCTTTCCGCCCCAAGCCCCTCCCAACCCCAACCTTTTTCGCCCTCCCCCCATCAACATGCTTGTGGAATGCCGGACGACACTGTCCTGCAGCGGCACGGGAGAAGTGGAAAAAACAGCTTTGGCCTTGCCTGGCCGTCGCCCGTCCTTGGACCTCGTGTGGGGTTTGCATGGATCTTCTGAAGTCACTCTAAAGTGTAGCCTTAAACACCTCTGAACTCAAAGCCAAGGCCAGTGGCTTCAGTTTGTTCCGTGGGTCACCCGGCAACTGGTCCTGCCGGAGGCTCATAGAGCAATAGAGCAAGGGCAGGGCTGGCAAAGATGGCGCAGCAGAATTTGGACTCAAGGTTTACGGCTTATGTCCGGGGCAAGGAAGGCCTGACCGGGTCTCTTGTCATGGCACAACATGGAAGCCTGTGGGCCTAAAGCCTACGCCCCAAAAGAGCCTAAGCCCTACAAGCAGCACTGCGTGCTCGGATAGCCATGTTCAGCAAAGGGCTCGCATCAGATTCTGCCGGAGCGACCTTGATGAACGGCCCATAGAAAGCTCGCCAGAGGCCCTGCAATCAGATGAACAATGGGACGAGCGTAGAAGGCGTCGAACGTTCGATTACTGGGTATGTATGATTCACTCAAGATCACCTCGAATGCTCCGCGTCTGCGCCTGAAGCCCTAGAGTCAGCGCGGTTACAGTCGGCCGGTACTTCTGAAGCTTAAGGGAGGACTGCGTAGGTGCAGCTTCAAGGACTGAGGCGCTGGCGCTGGTGCCCGGACCCTACATATCCCTAAACTCCTGACTAACTCACTGAACCCAGAAGCGCTCCTTCATCTGCATGACGCAGCCCTCCATGCAGCTGGCGGGGACTGGCATTCGGGACCTTGGATCTAGGCAACTCCTGCGACTCCTGCTCAGGCAGGGTTCAGGGTTGAGGGCATTTCTCGGTTGCGGGGCCCAAGAGCAAAGAAAAACCTCGGATGGATTCTCGGATTCTCGGATGCCTTCAAAGCAGCACGGACTTCTTGGGACTGATCGGGTTGCCATCGGCATCTCCGTCGATGATGGCATCCAGCACCTCACGAGTAGCTCGCAAAATTGGCTTGCAACTCTTCCAGAGTCGAGATTCAACGATAATCCCTTCCCCTTTTACTAAAAAGACCACCCTAATAATAAAAACACTTTCCGGAAAAAAATCCAAAAAATCTATTTAAAACCCATTTTGAAATAGGGGGGGGGTCAGGCCTCCAATAAACCCCTCAACACCAATAAAACCCTCAAAGGTTTAGGGTTTGGGGTCTCTCTCTCTCTCTCCCTCTCGCTCTTTCTCTCTTTCAGTTTACACCACACTTAAGTAATTGATTACTTGAGTAACCCTGAAGTCTAATTAATTATGACATTCCGATAAAAACATCCCCCTAATAATACAAACACATTTCGAGCTTTTATTGGGGGGGGGGTGTTTAATATTATTAGGGGGAAGGCAGCACAAGTTTGCCTGCTCCTCAGCACGCAGAAAGCAGCTGTGTCTAGCCTTGCAGGAGTACCTAAAGTGGCTGTGCATTGAAGGGTGCCTTGGGGTATCCTCTCCCTGGACCGTTCGCTCCGTGTCACTTGTGCCCTCGTTCAGTCCCCGTTGAGTTAGTAATTGCGCATGCGTGTGTTTTGAATGCGTTGATCTCTCCGTCTCTCTCCCTCGAGTCTTCTGTCTGCCGAGTACCAACTTGTTTGCACTGCCACTTCCTGGTGCCGTTCGGGTTCCTTCGATCTTTCTTTTGACCTGTTCTTGCGTTCTGGCATTCTTACATTTTGTCGCTGTTGGGTGCTTTCATTTGAAAGTCGTTGCCTTCCACCGGCAAACCTGCGCGGGAAACCAATACCGGCAAAAAGTTGAGACACAACCCGCCTTTTCTCCCTCTGCTAGCCTTGGGTCTATGCGACGCTGCACTTGGCTCGTTTCCACGACTTGTGCAAGCGCGGCACTGGTCGGACAGCAGCCCAGCAAAAACAAAGCTGGAGCAACAGGGTGTCATTCGATCACCCACTGCAACATTAAAGCCCCACACTGAGGACCTACAAGAAATGAGCAAGCCTATGCAGCGAATCCGGGTAATGAAGGCTTCTCATAATCGCCCCTACGGCTGGAGAGCTGGTATGAACGCAAGGAGCTGAAGCAGCTAGCATACCGAGACATTCACCTTTCGATGAACTTTGGCGCCATATAGTCAGTCGTGCCGCACAAGGTGTGGGGTCTCACCCAACACTTGGCAAACAGGCTTCTCGGTGCAGCACGTGGCCTTCTTTGTCAAAAACGTGGCCCGCCTTCCCAAGAACAATCTTGGCTAACCCCATGTCAGCGACCTCAGCATCTATTGCAAACTCCTCCACGGCTTGCGGGTTGCAACAACTGCTGAGCTCAGCTTTCGAACATGCTCTAAACGCACGCCTTTAAGTGGCCCTTGTCATCGAGAAGAAAGTTTTCGGGCTTTAAATCCTGCACGTGCGAAACTGGTTTCACTGATGTGCCACAAAGCCAGAGAAGCAGACTACGCAGAAAAGACCCGCTTCCGCTGCCTTCCGCTTGTATACCAATTGCAATGTTCCTCCAACAAAAGCGGTGGTAATGTCTCCAATTGCACCCCCCACCCCCCCACCCCCCCCGCCCCCCCACCCCCCCCAACGCCCCCCACCCGACCCTGGTAAATAGGGAATTGTTGAGCTAGTGGCTCCATCAGTAAAAATATTGACACTTATCCGGGGGGCCCGTGGCTGATGAAGTTTACCCACTTGGTGCAGACATGTGCAGGCAGCTGTTTGGCTCCGCCCTGCACGTTTCATACAGAATCACGAAGTCTGATTTGTTCGCGAAGACAAGAACCCGTCCATTCAACCCTTCAAGACAAAAGACGGTCTCAAGCAGCTTTTCTCAGGCGCCCAGGGTCAAAACATGAAAACTGGACCCGGACCTGGGGTGACCGACTGGACCGGGCCGGTACCAGATTCAGCTTTGGGTTATTAGGGTTATTGTGGCCCAGGCACGTCAAGCAGCGCCACACCATCGCCGATGGTATGGTTGATGTTCATGACCAGCAAAGACCTGCGAGCTGCAAGGGAGCAGTCCGACAGGTGGCTTCTTTGATCTTCTCTGTAATGCTTAGGTAGGCTTGGGTTTGTCCAAGGCTTACAGGCTGCTGCCCATCCTACTAAGTGAACTTTGCTCAGATCTCAGATGCTCCAAAGGATGAAGGAACGATTGCCCTCAGGCATAGAGACGGCTGAGCGTAGTGGCCCCGTGGAGTCTCTGGAGCATGCCACACAGCGCCCGAAAACGGTGCAGGGGTATACACAGCCTTACAATCGCTGCAGCAACCCAACACACACCTAAACGGACCTCGATGGGTGTTTGCGAGAGTCTCTTCACGGAATCCTAAAAGATTTTGCAACAGGAGGGTCCGAGGCGCCCTGCCCCTGCCTTCCATCGTCGAAGTTGTTGATCACATATGCTCTCCAGAGTGGTAGCTCCTGGCAGCGATAACCAGGCCATGAACGCCGAATGCCAACGAATGCCGAAGGCACCCTGAGCACTCTGAAAGCCCGAAGTCACTTAACGGTGCACACGGTACCGTTCCCCCCACTGAACCAAGGTTCAAGCTTGTCGCGTTTCCTTCTGATATTCTAAGGCCTTTGAATGCACCCAAAGACACCCTGAACCTACCAATCACAAGCAAGCCACTTCGGGCTTTTGCTGGAGTTTAGGGATTCTGCTACGTCAAGAAGCCCACCCCGGCAATGTCAACCAACAGCACTATGGATCTGAAAATGTTCCTACTTCTATCGCCCAAATGGTCCCTAAATTACACTCTATATAGAACTAGGGGACCTCCTGTGTCAGAACAGATATGAAGACGTAGGAGCTCAAGCGGGTGGGGGAGGGCTTAGCATACACCACTTCCAGAGAGCAGTCCTTGTTCTGCACCCTCCAAGCCCGCCATCCGAGAGAACTCAGGCCCTCAAACCCCAAGAAGCTCAGATGCCCGGAAGCTTAGACTTTCGGGTTTGGGCTTCTAAGGTTAGGGGTTAGGGCTGAGGGCTTACTGCAGGGCTTAGGGTTCAGGGCTTAGGGTTCAGGGTTTAGGGCCGATGTCCGGCTCCCAGGGCTGGTTGTACATCGCTGACACGAAGCTGTCCAGATCTGCTCGGTTCTTGACATCGTCTCGGCAGGGAGGCTGAGGTGTACGGAACTTGCTGTAACCCTGTAGCACCATTAAAACCCTTCAGACCTTCAAACCTTGAAACCATTTGAACCCTTTTAAACCCTTTAAAACCCTTCAAACCCTTCAAAGCCTTCAAACCCTTCAAGCGCTTCCAACCCTTCCAACCCTTCCAACCCTCAACCCTTCAAACCCTTCAAACCCTGAACCCTAGGGCTTAGGAGTTCAGTCTTGTGCATAGTTGATACGGGCACATCCGTCTCTGCGCTTCATGTCCTGATTGTCACCTCACATTCGGATTGCTAGAGTGTCGGGTTTAGAGGCAACAAGCACCTCACAGCCTCACGGCCTACTGCAAACCTCAGACCTGCCGGTACCACCCAGCAGCCCTCTGCCCTCAAGCCTCACACCTCTCCTTATTCGGCTTTGGGTTTGAGGGTTCTTCGGGTGTGCAGGGCTTCGCAGGGTTTGGGGTGCGCAGTCCATGTCGAGCAGCCCACGGCAGTGACTAGCTCAGGGAGTGCGGCTTCCAGTGTTGCCTGATCGAGCCTGGGATTGGGGTCGCGAGGCGCTAAACCCCCCAAAAACCCTAAGCCCGGAGGCCCCTGGGCCTTGAAAGGGTTGAAAGCAGAAATGGGGCCCCCCCAAGGTCCGCAGAGGGTTGAAAGGGTGTCGAGGCCTTAAAGCCTTAAGGGTGTGGAGATACCTTGAGGACGCAAACCCTGCAGTGTTGGCCCCGGGGTTTGGATGACTGTGGCTGATCGAGGTTGGTGCTTGTCGGTGCTGCCATTCCAGAAGTCTCGCGAGCTGCCAGACCGAGAACAAATCTACCAGCCCTGAAATTGCAAACTCAATCCAGCTTACAGCCCAAACAGTGACACATCACGCAAGTGACCCGAAATCCTCTTCTTGGCCCGGGCAGCTCCTGAAAAGCCGTAGCCGTACCTGAGTGGCTTCTGTTCTTGGTTATGGAAAATCTGATGCAATTGGTTGTGCTGCTGGATCGCAGGGCGTGACCACGGCCTCTCACAGCTTCAAAAGCCCGAACCCCGGCATCCTGCTGATCAACTCAGGGTGCTCAGCATGTCTTTGACGGGAACGATCTTGCTGCGAAAGCGCATGATGGGCCTGCCAGGATATCAGGTGCTGCATGAAGGTGTTACGCCTGTGACGACTTGCTGTACGCTATGCCCAGGATTCAGGGGCGAATCTCTAATCTGGAAAGCTTCCGCACTAAGGTCATGCTGTGGGCAAGGATTGCAAACGACAGTCCAAGAGGCAGAAGCTTCTGTAGCAGCTGCTGGCGCACTTGTGCGACATCGAGTGGGTCCTGTTGGTCAGGAATGCTCGCCCCTGCTTCTGGGTTGCCTCGTTTCCTCGTTCCAGAACTGATAAAGAGATTCCCACACCCGTTGTTGAAAGGTTACACAAGAAGACATAGGGCACCTCTATTCGTTCACTCCAATGTAGCATTTCTTTCTAGCGTCTCCCCTTAGTAAGATCAAGCTCAGGCTCGCAGCGACACATCGCCACAATGCCCTTCATGGCAAAAACACCACACGCTCAAGGTCAACATGGCACTTCAAAAAAACAGGAAGGTGGGGCATGCATGTTGAAGGTCATCTGATGACACAGCACTTCGCAGACCTGATAACCCCACCTCACCTCACCTCATTAAACTTCACCTTGCCAACCACGGTCACTGCACGAATATGATCGGTTTCTGTCGAGCTCCCATAAGCCTTGAACCACAGGAATGGGACGATCAGGACTCCGCGATTGAGGACATCGCCTGGGGCGTGAGCGGGGCGGTGTCGGGAAACATTGGTTGAGGCGCAGGGTCCGGTGTTGGAATCCAGGGCACCGCTTCGGATTGCAAGAGATTGGACGCCAAGAGATTGGACTCCAGCTGAAAAGATACGGAGACACAGACAAAACATTGCACTGAGGACCCTAAACACCCTACATCCCGGATGGTTGTCGCTTCAAGAAACGAAGGTCCAAATCATGCCCAGCGTCTCGTCGCCTTGTCCCAGACTGTGGCTCCAAAGGTATCGCTAATTCCTGTTAAAGGGTTTAGGATGGGTTCGGGCCTCCATGTCCGTGTCTAGCCGAGTCTCGACGAGTCTAGCCTGTTCGCCACGCCACTTCTCAACGGAAACTCTGATGGGCAAGTTTGAGCTTGGCTTCTTGGCTTCTGAAGCTGTCAGAAGTATGGAAACATTCGAGACCGTTTTAGAGCAAAGTCGTCTCCATCTCTAAGTTTCTTCCCCAAACACACGGCGGCCGCATCAACATCAGACATCTCCGAGATCTTGCTCTGAGTTGCAGGGGTCTACTTTCAACCCAAAAACTAGCCAGCTAGCCAGCAACGCAATCCGGATCCCTAGGTCTCAACCTGCGTGTGGAACTCCGAACTTCAACTGCAGTTTGAAGCTGTGTGCCCCCTCTGGGGCCCCCCTCGGGCCTCGTGTGCGGTGAATGCGCGTCATCTGTGCCTGTGAGGGTCTCGGTACTCGGCTGCTTTGTCAGCTCAGCAGCAACTTACCAACACGACACGACACCCTGCTGTCCAGTGCCGATCAGCACTTCTGCTCTAGGTCGAGGTAACAGTCATGGACTGCAAGCAGAAGCAACATGGCCACTGCCAGTCTGCGTCAACTCCCTTCGCGAAACAGCGGGCTGCTGCCCTTCGTTCCGTCTTTCATTCTTGGTGCAATCTGCCTCACAACCCAAACCTCAAGACGAAAGACAACGGCGATGTAGCGCTAGCTGACACCCCCACAAGACAGTGGGGTGATGCTCAGGCTCCTTCGCAGAAACCTGCCCGGATGGGAAGAAAAACAAAAGGGCTGTGCGCTTGAGCCACCCCCCAAGCTTGCCTGGCCTGGAGTGCCAGGTCCAGGCAGGCGCTTTGGCCCGGATTCCCATACCCTGTAAGCCCTGAGAACGCTCAAAGCTGCGAGACGCACCCACATGCCGATTGAATTTGTGTGTGCTGCTAAGCTTCTACAGATGATGCTTGCATCCTAACTCCCAAGTCTCTTACACCTCGAGCCACTCACCTCAAGCCCCAAAAACATTAAACTCCCAACATTGTTGGGCTTGGAAGGAATGTTTGTAGAAGGGCAACTGTAGCTGCTTGAGCCTCCAAGCAGACCCGAAAGTCAAGAGCCTCAACCCAATAATGCACCCCTAAGTTGCGCACTCTCAGCCTCAGCCCCACAGAATCTCTCCCGTTTTCTGGCGCCACTTGGACCAGCCGTTCCACACAATTGAATCACGGAAACGCCGGCGGTTAAACTTGGGAGTCTTCGACTGCGTCTGCGTCGACTGGTGTAACTTGTCCCTGACCATTGCAAAGCCTTCTACGAGGATGCAAGAATCAGTGGTGGCATGCTGCGTGGGCTGGGTCTTTCAGGTTTCACAGGTTTTTCGCTGAGCAGCACCAGATCTCCCAGTCCCAAGCCCTGCAAATTGCTGCAATTCAAAAGCTGCAAGGATCGAGCCTTGAGCCTTTAAACTTGATAAGGGAGCTCGCATCGAAAAGCACAGAAGGAGATGTTAACATTCTAATGTCAGCCTCAAGTCTTCGGCTTTTTCGAAGCGGGAATCAAGCCCATCGAAGCGAACTTCACAAGCCAAGCTTGTTGCCGGCACAAGGGCATGGCTTAATCCCACGGCCAGAGACTCTGTTCACTTGATTTTTCTCCAGGCGTGGGACTGTCCAACACCCACTGGCCACGGCGTCGTTGTGACATTCTGCGCATGCTTGCCAATAGAGCGTGTCCAAAGGTGTGTCCAAAGGTGTTGCTCCCCATGCGGGGCATCAGCATCAAGTAAGTGGAAACCAAAAACCACGTCCTCCTGGTTAGATGGGCCCAGTGGCCCAAATTGCATGATCAATACTAGCCGGCTTTTCACCCTACATATCCCCACTTGTTAAATTGCGCCTGCTTCTTACTCACTTGGACCCTCGGGGTGCGACTATGGGCGCGGCAAGCGCGCTTAAATCTGCCGAGAACTGCTCGAAAACTGCTGAGTTCGCACGGATCTCTCTCAGCTGAAACCAGAAAGCCCTTGAGTGCTGAAATCTTCATTCAAGAGCTTGATTGACCGCTGCCTGGCAGAGTAAATGAGGTTTTCATGAGTCCAAGGGCTGTTAAGGGGCTCAGGCATAGTTCTGCCATGGCCAGGCTTGAACTTTACAAAACCAACACTCTTCACAGCGCACGTTTGGGAAGAATTCAGGACTGGGCTGAGTCTTCGGAGGTCGTGAAACCAAGGCGGCTGATCGGCAGGCGGCCATCACAGATAAAGCCGGAGAAGCACTCCGACCATACCTGACTCAGACTTTGAAATTGCGGTTCAGGGTGAGCCTTCCCTAAACCCTGAACTTGTGAATGCCTGTTCGCCAGGGATCAAACTCGAGCCCGAAGATGTCGTGAGTTAAATTCCGAGACCAAGAAAGAAAAAAAACAGGCTCCGAAGCCCGGCGCACTGAAAGACACCACTTGTGTGCTGTTTACGGTTTGGGGGCCCGAACTAGCCCCCGTCCTGACAGGATGGTGGCCAGCAGGTAGAGCTGCTTCAGGAACATGCCCTGGGTCAGGGTGACGCCCTTCCTGGGGTGCAGAAGGGGGAGAGAGCTGAAGACTTGGAGCTGAAGACTTGGTGGGCTTAAACTTCTGCTGCTTAGGATTCATAGGGTCTTTAGGGATCAAAAGGCTGTCTAGGGCGTTAGATGTGGGTTCAATTCGACGGTGCTTTCAGAGCATCAATCGAGGATGCAGAGTCGGGGTCTAGAATGACGATTCGTGGGCCGGGAGGGCATGTATTGAACGAACCTGGCGGTGGGCTTGAGGCAACAAAAACGCAAATGACATGTTTAGGTTTTAGGGTGAGAGTTTTCGGTTTTTAGGGTTTTAGGGTTTTAGGGCAGAATTCTGGGTTTCAGGGCTTAGGGTTTTGGTTTTGTGGTTTTTTCGTAGGGGCTTCAATGGTCTAAAGGGTATGTTTAGGGTTTTAGGTTTAGGGTTGGGTTTAGGGGTTTACTCAAAAAGGTGGGGTGGGGGAAAACTGTGGGCGGGGGGGGGGGGGGAGGGCGTACTGACACGCGACACGGAATCACATACGCAACGTTCTTTTCACATAAGCATGTACCTGTATATCTACATTATGGAAAGTTATACTCCCTGAACCACCAAAAGGCTACACCCCAAAGCTCCAAAACCCAAGTCCGACCTCTTTCGGCTTCGACTCCCAGTTCTAGGCCCGAGTCTTTAGGGTTTCCAGGGTTTCCAGGGTTTCCAGGGTTTCCAGGGTTTCCAGGGGGCTCAGGGCTTTGAGGCAACCACAAATGAGATCACTGGAGTGGAGCATCAATGCACTGGTCTACTTTCGCCGGGGCTCACAATGAATCCTGCAGAGGTGTCCACAATGAATCGTACCAGGTACTGCCGATGAAGGTCAATGCAGGCGCCGGGGATCTGATTCCTCCGCTTGAGGACTTGCTTGAAGATAAACCCCAAACCCTCAACCCGCAACCCTCAACCCTGAGCTTACTGATACCTGCTTCTCGAGCGCAGAATGGACGCCATGGCCAGTTCTAAGCGAACTTCCCTCGTCAAAACCCCTGAAACAAGCCATGGCCAACTCCACATGCTCCTCAACAACTCCGAAAGCCTCCACATCCAGACCTCAAATCTCCTCAAGCGCTGGCCCCAGACAAATCCTGATTTCGTCTGCAACATATCGGCTGAGGCCTGTGGAGTCTTCTTTTCATCTGACAAGGCTCACAAAACCGGGAAGGACCCGACATTTCTCGGTCAGCGATGCCGCCTGTGCACCGAGCCGCATGACGATCCTGAGCAAGGGACGTGTCCAAAAGCATGGGGAGCTGCTTTGCGCCTGCTATCCGAATCGTTTTTTTGCTCCGATGCCCCCAAGGGTCTAGCGCGATTGCTGGAACTTATTCAGGCCAGGCCGTGCGTTGCAAGGGCGGTCTTCGTTTGTGCAGGCTTCGGGTTTGGGCTCACGGTCTGCAGTTCAAAGAGAGGAGCTTAACGGAGTGGTGCTTCCCTAGGCTCCCTCGACACGCTTTTAAGATGTAACCTACTTCTGCACAAACGACAGAACATCCCCCGGCAAGTGGTGGGTCTGGGAAGCCCCCTGCCCTGAATGCCCGGGCCCCCCCGGGGGTGTGTTTCATTCCTTCTAATGAGGCATCGTTTGGGTTCAGGGATTGGGCTTAGGCTCTACAGAGCCAAGGATCATCAAGAGGAAGATGGCTGGCACGCCGGCCTGCCCCACCATGGACACCGATAAGGACTCGAAGTGGTCCTGCGCGCCAAGTGTAGTGAAGATAGTTTCGGGCTTCCGCCCTCAGATTGGAGGCTGGTTCCCTGTTGATGACTTAGCTTCAATGGCCTTTTTGGGGTGAAGGGCTTCATGCGAAGGCTTTGGCGAGGTGGAAGCCTAAGCTCTTAAACCCAGCACCGCAGTCCCTGAGAGCAACAACAGCTTGTATTCCCAGACTCGCTTCACACGGCCTAGACCCCAACCCTGAACCCTAAACCCTGAACCCTAAACCCTAAATCCTGAACCCTGAACCCTAAACCCCAGCAGAAGAGTTTCACAAGCGGCCTTCAGCGCAACGTGGGCCGCGCTGCCCGCGTAGGCGACGAAGCCGATTCCACTGATGGCTTGCAGGAGGACCCTTGGCCAAACAACCAAATAGGAGGAAGCTTGGGGTTTATGGTTTAGGGTTTACAGAAATTGCATTAACAGGCTAAGGGCTCCAGAGGGGGATGTCGGGCTAAACATCGCTAAACTCTCGGGGGGGAGGGGGGGCGGGGGGGGGAGCTAAGCCCAGAGAAAACTCAATCACAGGGTTGTTTCTCGATCCACAAAGGAGGGTGCCAGATTCGGACCAAGCTGGAGGAGCCATCACTCAGATGAAGAGATTCCAAAGCAAAACGTGGCCAACGAAAGCTCCGGGAAGGGGGGGGGGGGTCGATCTGAACGTTGAACGTCGGTCCTTTTGTGAGCATGTCAAAATAACAGTATGCAACATGCAATGCGCGACACATAGAGCGGCACCTGCGGCATGACTCACAAACTGAAAGTAAGACAGGCGTTCCCATTTCCAGGCGTCGGGCTGCAGAGTAGAGCTGGCTTGAAGGTAGACTCGGCTGGGCTGGAGGCGGGGGGAAGGAGACTTGGCACTGTACACCTCCCTGTACGGGGCACTGCTTCCTTGATGAGACCTGGCCCAAAACTGCAGGCCTCGCAGCGAGCAGAGTAAAAAGAAGGCCGGGGTTAGGAGTGAGTTCAGAGATCAACGTGTTCTCAAGCTCTTCCTTGACGGCCTCCACGGCTTCAGGGGTGCCCCTCAGCTGAACTTGCTCGTAGTTGGACAAGCCTGCTGACTGCAGCTCTTCCTGGCAGAGTCTTCCAGTTGGCGCAGCACTTTCTCCAGGGTGCTGGTCTTGTAGAGTTCGACGGCCTTGGCCTGTCCGTCCTCCTGAGGGATTCGCATGTCCGGATGGCAGGCGTGGAGGCAGAGATGCAGCCATTTCTCAAGCACGGCCGCCTGGGCCCGGGTCTGGCACAGCACCACCACGATAAGCCTGGTCAGCACGGCCTGGCACGGGCGGAGGTACGTGGCGACGTGGCTCTGCAGGCGTCGGCGCAACGGGCAGGCTTTTAGTCTCATCAGGTCGCCCACGTAAACGCGAAGGCTGCTGCTGCCCACTTCAGGAACTTCGTCGCGCAGAGCAGTCGTTGTCGGATGCGCAGCCCAGCTTCCGAGAGATGGCTTTGTCCAGGTCGGCCACACGTTCCAGAAGCGGCACAGGTGCGCCTTGAGGATCTTCAAAGATTGTCGCTGCGGCGCTGCTCCTTGGGCACACCCTCCAACGACGGAAGGATGGCTGGCCCTCGCAGGACTCATGGTAGAAGCGGAAGTCCATACAGTCGCCGGCCCGAATGTCCTAACTCTACTTGAGGGGCCTCTGCTGCCCCTCTGTGCCCTAGAAGGAGTAGATGCAACACAGGCGCTACTGGAGGCAGCCCTTAACATGGCTGAGGCAGACGGAGGAGGCCGAGGAGGAGGCCGAGGAGGAGGAGGAGGAGGAGGAGGAGGGGCAATCATGCGAGGAGGGCCTGCATACTGGGAGGGTCTCATGCTAGGAGGGAAGGTGTCTGGTAAAGGGAGTGCCTCTGTGCCAGGCTGCGCGGAGGAGGGGCGGGAATGAGGGTCTGCATGCTAGGAGGGCCTACATGCATGCTAGGAGGGCGGCCTGCGCGGAGGAGGGGCGTCATAGGACAAGGGTCATGCCGGCGGGGTGTCATGCCAGGCTGCATGCTGTGCCAGGAGAAGGGGCATGACGAGGAGGGCCTGCTGCTCTTGCGAGAAAACGGTGTAGTGACTGTCCCATCTCCTTCTGCCAGAGCTCCACAGAAACATCCTGCTCCGCATTCTCGCACACGTCCTGACCATAGTCTGCGTCCTCGGAAACACTCTGGAGGCTCTGCGCCAGGCATGGTGTCGGCTCCGGGTACTTCTGCACCCCCATGTGCTTGTGCAGTTTCCAACGCAGAATCCCCGTGCCAGGAAATGGAGTCAAGCTATGCTCCGGAGGGCCCCTTCGCTTTCTTTCCAGTGTCATGAAGATGTCCTGCACCTTCTGCTGCTTTGTGGGCGAGTCCTGCTGAGAGGCCGGATCCAGGACTGTCCCGGCAAAGGTCGCGGATGGGCTTCCCTGCACCTGCGTCGAAGGCGTGCTCATACAGCGGCGGTCCATGTGGTTCCCCCTGGATCGGCACATCCGACTGAGTCGGCACATCCAACGAAACAGGGTTGTCTTCTAGGCCCTGCTCCAAAACTTTGGCATCCTCCAGCTCTTCAGCTGCCGCCTCCAAGTCCGCTTGCGTCTCCGGCCCGGGCATACGGGCCCAGTCAGGCACTGCAGCCTCCTGGGGCCATTTTAGCGCGTACGCCCCCAGGCCCTTCCCTCTCAGCAGGGCCTCCTTCTCTCGTTGAGTGCTGGGCCCAGCAGACTGGATCAACGGCTCTGAGCGGTTCTTGAGCGTCTGCTCCATGCTTCTAACCCTCACAAGAGCTTGATACAAAAATGGCTTCGAAAAGAGCTTTGCCAGGCTTGCCCGATGTGCTGTCAAGCAAAGGGATCGAACATGTACGACGGCAGTCGGCATGGCCTCCAAACGAGCATGTTTGATGTTTGCAAGCAACGTTTCTCGGTCGTGGCGCTTCAGCCATGCTCCTCGACTCGGACGATCGGTCTGTGCGCCGGCTTTCCTACTCCAAACCTTACATGTGTCAAGCAGTCCCCAAGTGCGCCAACGTGCGTCCTGCCAAGGTCTCGCCGGATGTGATAGCGCGGGAACAATCGAATACATGATGATTGCAGGAAATTTGCACACGCATGAACCAGAAAACCAAATGAAAATGGCGACCGAGAGATCATTCTATTCATGTTTCTGATGTTCACTAGTTCACTAGTTCGCTTACAAAAAGACCCGGGTGTTTTTGCATAGTAATTACCGCTTGACGGGTTGGCAGGCGGGCTTGGGTTTAGGGAACCGGGACCGGCGGGTAGGGGCGGGGGGTTGGGGAGGGAGGGGGGGCGGAGGCTGCATGAAAAACCAAAAACATTCATGGACCCACCACGGACACAAATTTTTGCGGCATGTCCCCTTCATGGCGGGAGGCAGGGCAGTGGGGGGAGAAGGGGCACGTAAATCCAAGCGTCGACGAGTTTTCGAGCTCTCGGCTCAGGCATTTGAGAAGCGCCTGCATCCGGTTCCAACTTTTCACCCCGAGCTCGAAGTCCTGGCTGTCGTAGACCTAGCAAAGCTTGGGGGTTTGTATCGGATCCAGTTGGGAAGTTGAGACTCTGGAGACTTCACCTTTGTTAAATTTCATCTTCCCTGCGCAAGCCCAGTCAGGAAGCGCCTCGCAGCACCAGGCATCCAGAGCGCCGTCCGTCGCCAGGAGCAGCACTGACTGGATGTAGCAGCTGAGGAGGATCACAGCGCTCACGAAGGCGAACGCGATCACAGTGATTGCCTCGTTTACCTGGGAGCATACCTTCCAAGCGGAAGGGAGATGGAGAGCGACGGCCCAGGATTGCGAGCCTTTCGCAAAGCCTGAAGTCCTCTGGGGCTTCCCTTGTAACAATCTCGTAGTGAGTTGCGTTGCATATGGCTGCGACTTGCGCGCGACACAAAAAGATGAGAGCCGAGACAAATCTGCCGTTCACCATCATCCCAGATCTGAGCCTCAAGCCAAACCTCCCGCCGACGACCATCCTTCTCTACTTTAGCACAAAAACAAAAACACCAATTGCAATATGACCATCAACAACACCCTAGAACCCACATCTCCCGGCCTTGGCGATGGGAAGATCCTCGATGCGCAGGATCGTGGAGTCAAGCACCCCACGCTGAATGTTCCAAACCTCTCCAACGAAGCGCTTGGAGCTCAAGAGCCATGTAAGTTTAGGGTGTTAGGGCTTTGGGTTCGGGTGAGGGTTAGCGTCGTGCACATTGCATTTGTGCTAAAGGAACAGGGAAGGGCAACACGTTGATAATATTTGATCCGCTGGCATGGATCTAGTTGGGTCTAGTATCTCCATAGAACTTGCTCTCGAAAGCAAGCTGTAAACCCAAAACCTTAAAACTCTACTGATGCTAGGAATCCTGCACCCAAAGACTTGATTTAGGGTTGAGGAAGTTAAGATACAATACCTGCGTCTGACCGTAGGTACTTTGGAGTGCGGGAATCTCCGGCTCAAAGCAGGGAACAATAAACATGGCGATCCTAGAAGCTGTTTAGGCATGTACGGGTTTGGGGGTTCAGGGTTTCGGTGCTCACTGACTTGACTGTACCTCTGGCCCCAGTAAGCTGGGATATCAGGCGAGGATCTTACAACCCAGCTATCACTGTACTTCAAACCCAAACCAGGTAACACAGGAGGAGACTATTGTAACCCAGTCATAGATGAAGCCCTAACGAGGTCACAGGTACCCGATTTGTTCGACGTTCTTCTAACCCTTATACCTCAACTATGGCTTATTACCTCCTGTCCATGTATGTGTCCTTACATTCTTGTGAAGATGTGGGCAGCCAGGGCCCAAGTCCACTCAAAGGGTTCCACCTCGAAAACAAACAGAGGTGCGACCCCAAAGTGCGGTGCTTGTGGCGCAGGCGAAAACCCAAACTTCGCTCCCCCCGAAGCCAAATTCGAGGCGCCCTCCCAGTCTTGGCGCGCCTCAAAGCTCTGGCCGATCACTATGCAGGCCATAAAGCCAAGCCACGCCTTGCTTTGGGGGTTTTAGGGTTTTGGGGTTTTGGGCCTTCTGGGTTTCGGGACGTTAGGGATTCAAGGTCTGCCTGAAACCTTCTCCGTGCTGCTTAACGCCTAGACCCTAAACCACCAGCAAAATCCGCCGAGGGGGCCGAAGCCAAAGCCACCCCCTTTTTTGCCTGGAATAGGTACCCCTCGTAACCGACCAGGATCTCAAAGCGGACGGTTTGCCCGGACGAGGGGGCAGTGGGGCTCCCGCTACCCCCCCAACCCGCCCCCACCCCCGCTCACCCCCACCCCCGCCCGCCCATGACTGGCCTTTCTTGCCCATAGCGTTAAAATTAGCCCAAGCCCTTGGCCTCTATGAGCGTGGAGTAGAAAGCTAAAGAAAAGGAGGCAGCTCCTGGCCGTGAACCTCTGTTGAGCCAACCTTTTAACGTTGCTTCGAAAACTTCTGAAAAGCCCTGGTTTTCGCCTGCCAGAACGCATAAAGCTCAGAAACCATCAAGCCAAGTTTGAGTTTACAAGTGGTCTAAGTCCGGGTCGACTCACTTGGCTTGAAGCAAAAACGGTGTTCTGTATGCATTGGGGAGGGATGGGCGAATGGGTGAAGTGGGGCTGCTGCCTCAACTCACCTTTAGCTTTATCTGAAACGTCCATAGTCCTAAACATTTCGAAACTCCCGAAGCATCTCATTCTGTTGAGGAAAACCAAAACGAAACGAAGATGAGGCCTGGCATCCAGCCGAATGTGTGAGTGGGCATTCAGGAGCACGGGGTGATAAACACACATACTGGAAACCTGTGGCTCGCTTTGAGGGGCACCCCACCTCGGCAAGCATCCAAGACTGAATCTGCTGTTTTCCTGGTTGGAGAACTCCACGGTCCAATACTCGGTCCAAGGTTTCCCTCTGCTCAGCCACGCAACAACATATGCGAGGGGCATTGTGATTGGCTGCTCACGCCCTTGCTTGCAAGAGAAGGTTGGAAAAAACACAGGTCGAAGAAGGCCGAGTCCTGGACCTTCTACAGCTGAAAGAAAATGTCGGAACTATGTGGGCGTGTCCAAGACACCCTACACTGGGCACAGCTATAAGAGCGGTCCACAGCTGGTTCATGCAGCCCTTCTATGTGAGATTCCCTGTTCTGAACTCAGAGCGTCCCAGCTGCCAGGGAGTACTTCCAGCGCTCCCGGCGGAAGAGCTCCGTCCTCCAGGCAGACCCAACCTCACCACTCACCCAAGAACTCTTCAACCTACATACAGTATGGGGGGGGGGGTTCCCAACCCTAGGTTTTGGGAGATCCCAGAATCGGGGTGCCCCAATTCTTGGGGGAAATGCCCATATAACAACCTTAGGATCCTTAACCCGACACCTTCTCTGAAACCAAAGAGACAAACCCATCTCGTCCTTCCCACATCATCCAAGTGGAGCTGGAGCTTCAGGGCCACCAGATGCAAAGCCTCAAGGGTGTGTCTCGCCTATTAATCACTCTATTTAAGCCCCACGTCCCCAAAAGGGGAAACTCAGCTCCTTCTAAAGACATTCAATATCGCAAAGCAGCCTACCGGGGCAGCCAACTACCTCGAAAGCCTGCAAAGCTGACCCACCACCACCTCTGCAGCCCGAAACACCCTTGCAATACAAAACGCAGGCCTCCGAAGCTAGGGCCCGGGTAAGTAGTACGACGCTCCCATAGGCCAGCATAAAGTAGAACAGCCTGAGGCAGTGACAATGTGACATGCTGAGGCTTGGGGGGGCTTTGTAGCCATAGGGTGTCTAAGGCCGACGTCCCCGGTGCTTGCGAGGCGTGGAGCAGGAGAGTAGGTTTGTTTGTTTCCCATGGGGGCCCATGGCACTCACTCCGAAACCATCCCGGAACGAACCCAGGCAGTATTCTTGACCCCCATGCTCAAAAAAAGACATCGCTACAGGTGTGTAATGCATGTGTATATATATATATACATACATGTTCATGTATATGTATATGTATATGCATATGTATATGTATACGTATATGTACATGTATGTCTATGTACATATGCATTGTGTAAATAGATATACTACCATAAAGAGATACATACATAGAAGGGCACATTGATATACTATGATATCTATCTACCTAGATTTGCAGAAGACGCACTACCGAAAGCCTGAATGAACCCTGCAACCTTCACCCACAACTGCAAGTAATTCAGGCCAGAGCTTCAGCGAAACCACAGTAAAGTCCCAGGCCACGCCGTGCACGTGGCCGTATTGATGGACCAGAATTGCCTGCTTTCAAGCTTCTCACAGAGTTTCACACGGTCGCAGCAGAAAGCCCAAAACCTCAGCCCGAGAAACCCTAGAAACCCTAGAAACCCTAGAAACCCTAGAAGCCATATAGAATCCGAACACAAAACCTATGATGCAGGCCAGAGAGCCAGGCCAAGTTCCGAGAGGAACAGCACCCACATCGTGAACCTCAGCAGCCAACCCCAGCGCAGCAGGAATCCGCAGGCGCCGGTGTCCTCGCACAGAGCACAGAGAGGGCCTAAGAAGTGCTGCCTTCGAGGCTTAGGACTTCGACTTTAGGGTTTGCGCCTTAGGGTTTGTAATGCAGGAGTCATTTCCATTGTCATGGAAGATTCCATACCTATAGTGGTTGTACAGCATGTGACAGCTCACTCCTTGACAGTGGCGGTCTGCGCGACGGAGAACCCGAAAACCCTAACCCGAAGCCTAAACCCCAGGCCCTGTGCAAAAACAAAGCCTTCAACCCTGGGAAACATAAGAACATGCCCCTCAACCCCGCGGGAAGCAAAAAGAAAAACCCTAAACTGCCTCAACCGTACACCCTAAAACCCTCAAACTTCAAGCCCCTTAAACCCAAAAGCCAAGAGGAAAAAAGTAAAAAAACAGCCCCAAACGCCGAACGCCCTCTCAACTCCGGGACCCAAACCGCACAGCTCCCGAAAAGCGGAGCGGGAGCAGCCAGTGCCCACGCAGTGCTCGCGCACGTCCGTGTCCAGAAGCCGCGTCTGGGAGACCACCTGAACAGCGCTTCAGCGGTTCAAGGTTTCAAGGGGTCAGGGATGTAATTAAACCTCTGGCATTAGAGCCAAAATGGGAGGTTCAGGGCAAGGGCTTGACAGGGTCTCGGATTCTGGGTTCAAGGGCTTCAAGCTTTCGCAGCCAGATTCGAAAATTCTCTGCCCTCCAGCCTCGACGCTGTGGACCGTGGGAGCGTGGCCATCCAGACGCGCTGGCTGTGAGACGGCCTCAACCTCCAAGATAGCTTCATTAAGATTACTGCGATGACCATCACTACAACTGCTACCACGACTATAGCTACCCCCATGACTACATTACATCAATTCGTTTAGTTGTAAGATTTGGGGTATTTTCCTCAAGCTTCTATTGTAGCTTCTGGGCTTCCCAGCAAGATTCGTGGCGAAAAATGGGGGGGGGGTCGGTGTCTTAGGAAGACTTCGGGGTTGAGGGGCCCCGCATTGGCTGCTAAATCCGAAACCCTAAACCCTGAACCCTAAACCCCCACACTCCTCATGACCGCTCATAGCCCGTCAGCCGATGCACCTTCAGAACACCTGAGATCCTGAACCCGAAATCCCCTGTACCCTGTTTAAACACCCATCTAACCTAAGCTCACGAAATCCCAAAGCCCCGTAAACCCAAAACGCCCCAGAAGCCCTGCAAGCCACAATTTTTGCAAAAAAAACCGTATGAACTCACAAGGCCCCATTTTAACCCTTCTTGTGTTGTTCATCCCGGGCCGTCCTTGGGGACCAGCCCCGGCACGTCACGCTCCGGTAGGTCAGGACTGCCGTCGTCAGGCAAGGGCAGGACTGCCCGGTACCTCGGGTCTGGGGCTTAGGAGGAGTTTTTGGGGAGTTTTTGGATGTTTTCGGGACGTTTTTTGAGGGATTCAGGTTATTCCTCAAACAGTGCGGTGACACTAACGTCAAGAGTCAAAATTAAGAAGGGCGAGGTTGAGGATGATCGACATACCCGCTCGCCCGCATGATTCCGGGGCCGCGGCTTCCACCACAAAATGCAACTAGGTTTCGACGTCGCCCCCCCCCCCCCGACATGACGAATCACGCTCTCACCCCGCCTTGTAGGGAAAACGCTATGGAAACCCAGCTGCTGCCCCCGGACCGCTGTATGATCCCGTCTGCAAGTACGCAAAGCATGTTCTCGAGTGGAACTGGCAGATGATACAGCGCCTCAGGCCGGCCTGAAATCCGGAACCCCACAACAGACATCTGGCATTATGTCATGCGCTCTCCAGCCCCAACCCCGTGCATGTTCCATGGTCGAAAGCGACGAGTGCACTTTGTTGAAGCTTGGAAACGCTCGCAACGCGAAAACGTGGCAGGGACCATGCCTTCCTTCCAGCTTCCCAGGCTCTTGGATGCGTGGTCTTGGAATGCTCTTCAAGTGGTCTGCTGGGGTTTTCACTGGCATCATACAGGCTGTGGGGGGTTCCTTTTGTGCTGCCTCTCGGTGGACCCGTCCCGTCTTAAAGGCAGCAAATATCGCGCCCGCGCTTGCGGAGTGGAGTCTGAGTAGTCTGAGTAAAGTGGGATCAGGCGGGTTTCGAGCACACGGCTTTAGCAAGTTAAGCGCCTTTTGAACGAACTCGTCATAAGACACTCAAACCCCAGCACGGAGATGTTTATGAAGCCCATGGGCGCCAAACGAGGAAGTCCCACCAAGCCAATTCCATAAAGAAGGCCCCTGCATTCAGAAGCTTCATGAAGCTGCCAAGTGGCGCCTCTTCACACGGCCCCTCTTGAGGCACTTTCACTTCCCGGGATCTTCTTCGGATCCTCTGCTCAGGACCTGCGCCATGAGTGGTCGTTGCAGGGTTTGCCCCTGAGCCTTGGCACTTGCAAGGCCTCCCCTTGTTTTACCCCAGAGATCCCCATCAGCTGGTTGCAGTGGCTAATTAGGCCGCTAGATATTGCATCCCGAAAAGCATCTCTGCAATGGGCCCATACACAATCACAAACAAACCAGCAAACGAGAAGAGCGGCCACCAAGCCAGGAGCTTGCCCGGCCCATAACGTTGGCTGGTACCTGCACATGGGGTCACTTTGGGGGAAAGGCCCCTTAAGGCCCTTGGGGACCGCGGGGCATTGCGAGAGCACGGGAGCAAACCCTCAACGCATCCCCATCCCCAAATCCAAGATCAGAACACACCCCAAGCCCCCTCGGTTCCTTGCCCCCAAAGGCCATCTCGCCTGGGCCTCGCTTGCAAAGATGTCGTCCTTCTCCTTCCGGGGACTCTGTGGAACTTCATGTAATGTTATATGTTGTTCTGTGTGAAGGTTGAGGTTTAGTCCAGGTCTCGGGGGCCCGACCGTCTAAATGCGTCAGGCGTGGGATTGAGGCCCTTCGGGTTTGCAGTGAATTCTGGTCTTGAGCTCTTCTGCCCAGCTCTTCTCGCCCACTGCAACTCTGTGCTTTTCCTCAACCCACTCACCCAAGACCTGCTCTCCTCCAGCCGGAGGGTACCACGCTTCAGCGTTCCCTCCAAGGCTGCGAGCAACTCCGCCTCGGGCAGCTCAGGGGCTTCAGGAGAACTGAAGACAAACTTTGGGGGGGGGGGCTTAAGGGCTTGAAGAGAAGAAGAGGGGTTCGGGATGTTGGGACACACGTAAAACAGTCCACGGGATCCCGGAAGACGCGGAGGCCCTCGGCGCTTTTGGATCAAGAGTGCTTCCGGCTTCGGAGGTTCAGGGTCAACACGCTGACCCACTTGTGGCCTGCTGGATGTCCAACTTCTTCTCGATGGCACCTGGTGCTCTCCCCTTGAGCCCCAGATACCCTGTGAACCCGAACCCCTTCAGAAGCGCAACTGGGACCCCAACCTCTTAACTACTTAAAACCTCGGGTCGGACACCTTCGTTAAAACCCCAGCAATGCTTCCCCTACTTGGGGCTTGTGAGTTCAAAGCAGCTTTAGGGTTTTCGGGTTCAGGGGTTCGCACAGGGCACCTAGCAAAGCCTCTCGCAAGGCTTCGACCAACGCCTCCGCATCCAGCGAAGCCATGGCACGAGGTCTTTGTCGTGGCTCGGGGCCGTTCGGAGGCTTGGAGGGGGTGGTGAAAGGTTGTGAGTGCTACAGGTACGGTCACCTCCTCCCGATAAGCCCCAAACAACCAAGGCCTCACAAGTCTGGACCTCTTTGTGTGCTCAAGCCACGAAGCAGCCAGACTTAGCTTCCAGCCCCCCTTGGATCTTCAAGAAGCAAAGCCCAGGCCAAACGCCCCGAAGCCTCTGCGACCATGAAATAAAAGACCTTAGCTGAATCTTCCCCGTTCCGGTGGCTTAGGTGGCTTAGGGTTTCGGACCGGTGGAAGTCTTCATCGCTTGTGCTTTTGCTTCCGAAGCCCTTCGCCCAGCATGCACCTTTCACGCACCTCGTGTACCCTTCATGCACCCTTGAGGCTTTTGGGGCTTAGGCAGTGTCGTGGACGTTTTGAATCCGTGACGGAGCTTTCGAGTCGCGCTGGATGGGCCTGGTCTTCAGGCCGCGAGGTGGCGGCCAGCTTTGCCGGCCACACCGAACATTAACCATCCGGAGCCTCCACTTCACCCTTCAGGTCCTCAGGGCCTTAGGCTTCTTCTTTCAGCAAACCTTCCTTTACCCCAGCTGCCACCCGAGTAGAAGGGACACAGAGAGGCAGGCGGAAACACATGCGGTTGCCTGGATCCCTTGTGGCACGAACCTGCCTGTGTTCACACTTCTCGGCCCTCAGCACTTAATCCTAAACGCATATGACCCGGAAATAGCTTCAGGATCCAGGTTCGCAGGCCTTCTTTGGGCCCTTGCAATTTTGGCTCGGAGTACGGGTGCCTCCGAAATTCACCGGTGTTTTTTGTGTGTCTCTTTCTTTTGTCTTTCGCAGCCGCACGGCCAAACATCTTGAAGCCCGTCTTTGGATAGATCTATGCCTGTTCCTGGGTGGATGACAACTCGACCGTGCAGGTAGGAATCCTCCGAATCCAACAGCCTCAGCTCCAAACACGGGCTTTAAAAATAAACCGCTCGACTTTCGTTGGAGCGGCGGTGTCGCAAGCCGAAGCTGTCAAGAGCAGATGGACGAAGCGTAAAGAAATGTGTAAAGAATTCCCTGTCATGGCGAGAAGTGTAAACATGTTTGCGTGACTGTTTGCACCTCAAAGTTGTATCGTCAAGGGCCTCTGATGGGATGGACATCCAAGACTTCTTGAGATGTTGTGTAGAGAGAGCTTCCACCGAATCTGCGAAAGACCACTTCAACGCTACCCTAAGCCGACACCCGAGCAGGAATGGCACCATGGCCACCCACCGCCAGCACCAGCACCAGCACCCGCCACCACCCCCACTGGACTGCTGCTGCTACTACTTAGTTACTACTTCCTATGCTATCACTTCGACATTGTACAGCCTGGGGTTGCTACGGCACCTACCATCACTCCAGAGCACGGCTTGCTGTCTGTACATGAGGTTCTTTGAGGTACTTTGCCCTTTGTGATAGGTCCGCCATTCAACGTCCCTTCGTCTTCAGCATGCTCTCCTTCTAAACCCTATACTGCTCTAATCCAAACTATTTCCACTTATTCGCCATCCACCTCATTTTGTCATTTTGTCTCGCCAGAGTGCTCCGGCCGAGGAAGGCGCCTGGCTTGTGACTTCGCTTGAGGGTTTAGGGTGAGGTTTTGGAATTTGGCAAAGCAGGGCACCGCCGCCATACTCCATGTCCGGAAACACAGACTCGTTTCCCTGACGTGAATGTTGAGAATCTAATGCCCCACAACCGGGTCCTTCAGCGAGAGGGAACGTCAGAAGATACTCCCCTGAGCCTCCAAACCCGAAGCCCTGAGACACCGCGACAAACCTGTGCCCTGATAAGCCCTTAACCCCAAACCCCCAAACCCAACCAAGAAAGCACTAAACCCCTGAGAGCCCAGAAAAACCCCCCAAACGCGCACCCTAAACCCTAAACCTGAAAGACCTAAGCCCTAAACTGATAAACCCTAGCTGACCCTAACCCCCCCCCCCCCCCGGGCCCCGGTAGCGCACCTTAAGCCCGTCGCAGCGTATGCGAAGCCAGGGCCGCGGCCACGCGATCGAAGGCCTTCTCTCAGCTTTTCAGGAAACTTAAAAGATGAGATCCGCCCTTTCTCCTTTCTCGGGAGCGTGTTGGTTAGTTGGTGCAGTAGGTGTTTAGGGATTACGTATACAGGGCTACAGCGTTTTTTTGGGGTTAGGGGCCGCGTAGGTTCGAGCTTAGGTTCTCAAGCTACTGAGGTTCAGGGATGAGGAAGCAGGCTGAAAAGCTTCGGGCTGAAGAGCTCGAGGTTGGGGGCACTGTTCAATCTCCCTCTCCCTCTATCATCCCTGGAGCCATCTATCCTCAGGGCTTGAGGAGCCCTTGAGCCCCTTGTTGCGCTGAAGCCTCGTCATGCGTGGAGTCGGCCACACCGTCGTCGTAGACCTCAGGGATGAACCCGAGCGGGGACCCCTCTTGGGGACTTATTCTCCTCTCTTGTAGGTTTACATAAACTGTGAGCCCACATGGGCCCTTCATTTTGGATCCCTTTCTTGCCTACATAAACGAAAAAACAGAAACCTGTCAGGGGGCCGACTATATTCCTTCCCAACGCCCAGAAACAGCCACGCTTTTCGCAGCTTGACTCGGGCCCTGGAAATCCCAAAACCCAACCTCATGCGCTTTAGCAAGCGCTCTGCGGCAGTGCTTGCGACAGTTCTCGGCTGAATGAACCCAAACGCCCGACATCCCATGCACAAAAGCCCCAAACGTCAACCCCTAAATCCTAGAACCGAAGCTCGAAACCCTGAAGATGTTGAGCTCCCCATTGCGAAGCCCAAAACCCGAAAATAAAAAAACCCTTGTGTGGGTCCAGGTGGCGTTTTGTGAAGGCTGGCAATCCTGACACGATGGGATGAGGAAACTGCTCGGGGGGGTGTAAGGGCTTCAGGGGTACATTGTATTGTATCGGACATGAGATGTTTAGGGCTTGAAAAAGGTATGAACAGCTCGCCCCCAGTAATCCCCAAGGCCTGGGGTCTTGGAATCCAGCCGCGAGTCTTGCCCTTTGTACCCAAGGCTGCTGCGAACTGCACCTTTTGACGGGGGCCCCCGCCGGGCCTTGCCTGCAGAATTTTGCCCCATGTTTTCTCGACCTCTACACTCAGGACCGCCAATTTTCGGAAACCCCCAAGTAGACTCACGAGGAGTCCACAGGGCAGAGACCGTGCCGGATCCAAAGACACGATCCGCTGCATCTTCGCAGCTGCCCAGAATTTGTCACAGAAACATACTGGCATGACGCCGGGGCGGTGGCCGGGGTGCTTAATATTATAATAAGGGCTTTTAGTACGCTTTTAACCCTTGATTCAGAAGCTGGGCCGTTGGTTTCGTTCAATTCACGCGATCGCTTATTTCATGCACTCACTTGCAATCTAGTCCCTTTAATGTTCACTTCATATCTTATGTCCTCACCACGCCTCACGGGACGGTTATTCCTCACGCTCGTTACGTTCATTTCATATTAAAATTCATGCGTCTTTACACTTCGTTTCACTCCTTTTAATTTGAATATTAAATTCTCTTCAGAAGTTTAGTATTAATTCATATTAAAGGTAACACTGCGTTCGCGCATTCATTAATAGAATTCGTGCAGTCGTTTCACTCTTTTACAATTCTATTTTTACATCGCTTACTTGTTCTCTGCGTTCATGCTTTAAGTAGCATTCCTCAAGCAGTATTCTGCACAAGCAGCTTAAGCAGAGGTGCATATGCTAGCAGAAGTTCAGGTCAGGGGCAGGGGAAGGCGGGCGACAGTTGGAACGAGGAGGGGTCATCCAAGCATGCTTCTGAGCCAGACCATAGACGATCGGCTGCACTTCTCAACCACAACACATGCCCCCCTCAACCCCTTAAGGTCGAAGCCGAGCCCCAAATCCCCCGGGCCACCTCTGGGGTGCTGGTCCCGGCCCACCAGGTCTTGCGCTGGGCAGGGGGCGCGGGCGGCGCGGGCAAGGGCAGCCACTCCTCTCCGAGAACTCTTGGGCCTAAATGGGCTTACGGCCCATGATGCGTTGTTCATCACCTGTCGAAAAACACAAAGAATCTGGAATGAAGCCCGCCCAAACCCAACAATAGTCCTACAAGGCCTGAATTCCTGAAGTACCAAGCAAGGTCCTCAGGTCCTCAAGCCCCATACAGCTCCCTGTCCTCGAAGCTGTCGATGGCCCACATCTGCCGTTCGGGGCCATCGTGCGGCGAATCCTTCCGAAGCTTCTTTGCAATGGCTTCGGGTCTAAGCTTCCCCAAAACCCTAAGTACTAACATGTTGGGCCGATCTCGATTTTGGGACAGGATGCAGAGTTGCGGTTGAGGTGTCGAGGAATTGAAGATGCTAGCACATGCCATCTCGTTCCACTTCGCAGCTCCTCCGCCCGTTAAACACTGGCCATCCTAGAGCCCGCGAAGCCCCCACGAGACAATTTGTTGCGGGCATCAAGCAAACGGTTTCGCCCGCAGCTTCCCAGCATCTGTGCAGGCGATGTAAAGAATTTTTCTGCCCGGACTGAGCATGTGCCCCAACGATGAGGAACACTCGGTTCGTTAGCATCGATGACAAGACGGACCTCGATTTCTGAACGAGAATCTGATTCGCAAATCGCCAACTCATGAGGGTTGGGATCCAACAATGTGGGGGCATGACCTTTAGGACATCCTTCTGGATACCCCCCGGCTTCGACGTAGTCAACCCATCTGTTGGCGGCATGGAGAAGCAATCTAGGCTACCATGCAGTAAACTGGCACTCTGTTTCATGGAAACTGGTCGGAAGATTCCTTGCCAGCTTCTGATTTACCATTGCAGCCTGTACATAGCCACAGCTGGAGACAAGGCTAGTTTGCAAGAAGGGTGGTTCTCCAAGTCACGGCTATGCAGTTCACTTCGCATGCGAGGGAAGCGACGGAGCAAACAACTGGCTCCTGCGCGAGGCATGCCTGCGCATCGCTGGAGACCGAG